AGGATATGTTGAACAAGTACTGATTCCTCTAGCTCGGTCATTTTCCGTGAATTGGCTAAAATATCGCGTCGTGAAGGTATACCAAGCAAACGTCGACCTAGCTTGCGGTGGTCTACAGAATAGGTCCTGGCAGCAGCTCGAGCACGTAAATTTGGGTCTTTTTGCATAGCTTGGATAGCTAAGACTAGCCGGCTTTCGTCATTTTTCAGAGGCATCCTTAGTTGTAGAGAAATTTAATATTTCGTGGAGGTGTGGTGGGGTCGCCGGGTTTTGGCCGGTTCGCTATACATGCACGTTATATATTAACGTAAAGTAATAAGTAATCTTTAGAGAACTATACTCTACTATATATATCTATAGTAAGAAGTAATTTATTCCAACCAATTAACAGGTTAGACGAGTCGTCTCGCTACCACGGCTGGGGCTCGGTGTGTTTGGAGGTTTACTATTAGTGGTATCTCGGATGTTACCTGAATTGTCTTGTCATTGATTCTGGGTCTTTTTTCAGCTCTACTGTAATTTTAGAGGCGTCTTTTCCCAAAGTGGAAGATTACTTACTCTGCTTCTGTAGTAATACGTAAAACTCTCACAGCATAGGGTTCGTTGCGATTCTCGAGGCATCACTTGGCCTTTTTTCGGATTTGCCTATGGTAAATGATTAGAAAATTACACGGCTATGAGATTTGGTGGTTGAGTGGACGTGAGGGAGAGAGGCTCTTCGGGTCCTAAAAAAACGTCGGATTTTATACCTTGTATACCCTTTACTTAAGAATCGCTCATAAATGCTACCTAAATTATAAAAGCATATAAAAGATATTAGCCAATACGGAATTAAGTAAATTATTATTATAGTTGTTCTTAGACATTCTTCTTACCTTATTATTATATAGCGCTACGTGGTTACTGAAAGAGGACTCATTTTTAGAGGGAGAAATTCCGACGTTTTTTTAGGACCCGAAGAGAGAGGTTTGTGTAGTATAATCATGCACTAGATAAAGCTTCAGAGTCTCACCGATTCCACGCTTTGGAGTTACAAATATTAGTATAATGCGCCAATGAGGCGGATGAAGAGCCTAAAAGGCCATATTTCGAAACTATGAGTTTCTCCGGGAGAGACTTTTCTTCTTCCCCTCCGAGCGTACTTGAGTTTCCATCAGAGAGATCAACCTTCTTTATACACTGCTTTTCTCCTGGAGGCTCCACAAGGCGTCCAAATTCGATAACGAAAATCATATCGCTATCAGATATCCCACCTGAGCTCTTAAAGATCATCATGGAAGGCCCGCCCTTGGCACCTCCTCAGGGCGTGAGATCAAACTTTGTCAATCCATATAGTATCTACAGAATGATACTCATAGTAATCGTTACTCTCTACATTCTTACAACCATTATAGTAGGAATAAGAATCTACTCTAAACTTCGTATATACAGAAGACTAGCGCTTGGTGATTGTATAGTACTCTTGTGTTCCAAGATAAATAGAAGATTGACTGACGGTTAGTTGGCAGATGCTTTGCTACTCGGTTGGGTAAGAGCTTTTTCGGAATTTGAGATAATGAGGAACTTAAATACCGGATAAGTCCATAAGTATTTCAATAATGATTTTGACCACCCGCGGCCCAGAGAATGCGGTGGGTGTACATCAGTACAATGTCCAGGGCAAGAAGATGTCTGATTTCCTCTACGTAGGTCTCCATCACGATCGTCATTTTTTCTCCAATCCAGCCCATCTTCATTTCCTCCCTACCGATTCGTGTTCTGATTACTTCAATCGCATTACCATGCTAACGCTCCCTAGCTCGTAAATGTAGGAATCATAGTCTATGCAGCCGCCAACGTCCTAATCAAATCGTCCATCCTCCTCCAATACACCTCAATCTTCTCGCCCGCCGCGAAAGATTATTTCTACTGGTCTTGCCACTTTATCATCGTTCTTACTATCGTCACATATACCAGCATTGCTTTTATCTAGATATTTACCTGCAAACCGATAGCTAAGAAATGGAACGTCTTTTTGAAGGGGACGTGTTTGGATTACCAGGCTTTTTATGTCGTGACGGGGGTTATTAATGTGCTTTCGGATTTTACAATTGTGGCGTTGCCGCAGAAGAAGATTGTTCGTTCTTTTTTCTAGACTTCTATTATGTTCACGCATAATCTATGGGAATCTTTGAGGGACATAGTGATGTGCTGATATATGATCGCAGTGGAAACTCCGAATGAACAACCGTCGGCGACTAGGAATAAGTCTTATTTCTGCAGTCGGATTGCTGTAAGTCTCACTCTTCATCTCCCATCTTCCCCTAGAGTCTCAAGCCGACATCCCCAGCGCCTGTATATCCGCCATCGCCCGTCTCTACTACTCGATCATGCTCACTCTCGACCAAGATGCGACGTGGTATACCTCTCTAATGGTACTCTTCGGACTCATTGAGCTCAGTTTCGGCACTATAACCTCCTGTCTTCCCTCCTTGCCTAAAGCGTTCAGAACCTTTGGAGATACGCTATTCGTATTGAGGATATCTTCTTTCTTGTTAAGGAAAAGACATTGTGATCCTGTTGGTGGTCTGAGGTCTAGTCCTTGGAACCATCCGTTTAAGAGACATGGAGAAAGCGGTGTTAGGAGGGGAACAAACGCTTTTGTGAGCGATATTGAGATGAATTTAGTGGTATCTCAGGTTCGTATTGATGTGGATAGAGAGGCTAGTCGACGTGGGAATGAGAATGTGGTGGAGAGTATACAATGAAGGTCGTGGGGGGTAGATTTGTTTTGTGCAGAAGAAGTCAAGATAGCAGAAGATATGATTCAATACTGTGTTGTAACGGGAGTGAGATAGAATTAAGGCAATAAGCAGAAGAACCAGGAGATGTGCATATATCCAAATCCAGAGAAATTCTTCTCTTAACAGCATTCGTATGCAGTGAACCTAGTAGCAAATCAGAAGTGCATGTAAAAAAACCCTTTGAGGCCGAACTCGGCTGGATATGCGTTATGATCAACAGAAACTATATAACTGTTAGTTCCCAAGTATTAAGAAGTCTCATTTTCTTGATGGTTTTGCCCTTAGATATAAGTGTCTGTTATATAGACATTCTGATGGAAAGAGTATAGAAGTGGGTGAAAACATATCATTCTCAAACAGAAGTGTTACTATTCCATAGCTTCTTTTTGATTTTGTAATCATCAGATTCTGAGTACACTCTGGCGATCCAAAGTAATGTTGTGATCTCTCGTATAAAAAAAGCGTCACCTGACGTCCATTGTACCACGTGACATCACTATTCAACGGGACTTTATTTTGGGTAGCTAAAGTGCAAATTTACGATTATTATTACAGTAATTGACTAAACTACCCCCTAATTAATTAGAAAATCCTTAAGCACCCCTTACGTAATTAAGAATTGATAGGACTACCCCCTAATTTATGCCCCTGGAAAAAAGGGGTAGTTCTATTAGTATCGCTTAAAAAGTAGGGGTATTTCTAGCAGTAAATTTTCACTACTTTCTATATATATCTACACCCATTTTCTAGTAAATCAAAGCTATAGCGTCCTACTACTATAATAATATTTTTCTACTATAGCACCTTCTCCCTTCAACTTTACCACCACCATATCTACTACACTACTAATACCACTACCACCACTACCGCTATTATACTGGCAAGCCAGCTACGCGCAAAGCTTCGGACTAAACCTCTAGAACCTCGTCGAAATATCAAGAAACAGCTAGCGCAATAATAACGAGCCTTCGACGAGGTGGTGGTAGAGCTGTAGGTTGGCAAGGAATAGAGTATAATTAAGGAAGCTAAGTAGGCTACCAAGTTTGCGCTCCTTAATAGCGACCTGTATTCGGCCTTGGTAAATATTACTCGTAATGACGGAATTGAGGCTCAGGAACAAGGACTGGAGGATATTGCTCGTAATGACGGAATTAAGGCTTAGGAACAAGGACTAGAGGATATTGCGCAGGAGTAAGGAATAACAAATAATAAGTGTAAGCGCAAGGGCAAGGAGTACTAGTCTCAACCACTAAAATCAAGCAGAAGTAGACTTTGGGGTAAGAAATAGGTAGTAGTAGATAAATCTACTTTGTTCACTAATTTGCTGGTGTGTTTATATGTAGGAACTAATAAAGAAATAAATTCCTAGGACTTCTATTTACTAACAGAAATACCCCTTTTTGTAGAATTACTAACAGAATGACCCTACTTCTTAAGTGGTACTAACAGGACTACCCCTCTTTTAGGGGGTATAAATTAGGGGGTAGTCCTGTCAATTCTCAATTACGCAAGGGGTATTTGAGGACTTTCCAATTAATTAGGGGGTAGTTTAGTCAATTACCGTTATTATTAATGAGTCAATCAGTTACATCTTATTTTCAATCTCTCATGTTAACTCTTATGTTGGTAGCCAAAATACCGCAAAGTGTATTCCCCTTACCACCCTCCTGGTATCCCATTTAAGCGAAGAGATCCACTCTGAGGAGATGACCCGTAATGGACAAAGAAGCGACAGGAGCCCATTTCTTTGTTGTTCCTCTTCTTTGGATCAATCACAGGTGACCAATTCAAAAGCTTCAGCGCAATGCTTTGATTATGATGGTATCTTTTCTTCCCAAACACTTTTTGTCGCTTGAAATAATTAAACCAGACATGGACTTGAATTTCACTTACGCTAATACAACGCTATCTACTTCTGCTTTTATTTGTAATTTACAGTACACCGCAAGGCTTGATACAAGAAGACACATACAAAGAACCCAACGCTAATCCATTAAATATCAACCTTTACTAAGCCCGAGAACCACCTTCCTCCCCGTCAGATGAAAACTTTGATGATCCAAAATTGGGCTGTATGTCGTGATGTGGCCCATGGGAGGAATTTTGTGGTGGTAGTTGGGTTTTCTCTGCCAAATAAAATATTCTGGCCCAGCTGGCATTTCCCATCAAAGTCTTGCACAGCTTTCCTTCCTTGTCTCTTTCTTGAACGTTGATCCATAGTTTCTTTTTCAGGCGATATTTCTTGTTGAATCTCCTTCTCATTCTGTTGGATATTGTGTACGGAAGACTACCACGGAAGTAAAGGTTGTCAGAACGGTCAAAGAAGAAATCCTTTCCAAAGGCTGCAGCATATTGTATCTCCTTTTCAAGTTTGAGGCGCAGTTTGTGGTCTCTACTCAGGTAGTTGGAAAGTTCGAGGTAGCCATTGAGAAGGTGATGCAAGAAGAAGGAACTGTCCGAGTACATGCGAAGTTCTGGATCGCGGATCGATATATCCTTCAGTAGACCATCGGGACGCATCGCTGCTTTGGCAAGGCACAATGCATTTATGAAGTGCTTATTGTCGTTGGTAAACTTGTAAAGAAGACTTAGGCCTTGTATCGCCAATCCCGTATTGTAACTCCAAATCGTCTTGCTAACCTCAATCAATCCAGACTGATAATTACGCCTCACTCCCTCCCATATCAATCCATCTCGAGGATCTCGAAAGCACAAAACCATAGACTCCAGGGAGATACGAGCAAAATCGCAGAGTGCTTGGTCGTATTCGATTTCACAAATCCGAAGTGCTGAGACAGCTGCTCGACCACGAACACAGATGTTGTAAGCTTTCTGCTTGTTAATTATCCAATTGCATGGAAACAAATCTGTCTCAGAGGCGGTCGGCATAATGTGATTGGTGATAATGGATTTCGCTCGATCCAGCAACATTCTATCGTAGGTAACTTTGAAAGCACTGATAAGACTCTGGGCAGCATGGACGTTGTCGTCGTAAAACATCTCTTCCTTTCCAGGCTCAATTTCCGAATCACAGAATGCCCCTTTTTCTGGATTCCAATACTTTTGTAGACAGTTGAGGGCTTCTTCGATCTTTGACGGCAGACATTCGGCAACCGCTTGTACCATGAGAGCTACTGGCTGTGAGTAAGTGTTAGCTGAAATCATTCTTACTTGGGGAAGTAAATGGATCCCACTGGAACTAGGTGCTAAATAGAGGAATCAACGGAAATGAACTCATACCCATACGCCATATCCGAAATTTCGATCTATACCAAAGGTGCCTTCGGACTCGACCTTGGCCTGAAACTGGTCATTCTCCGCACAGTAAAAGTAGGCTCCCAATGTAATTCTTCATTGTGATTTAAAGGGTTAAAATGCAACAAAAGCTGGAGGAATATTTCACGCACGGGATTAGATGTTGCTAAGTTGTTCCATTGAGAATGACGCCTCAACCATGAAGTGGGTGTCTCAAATTACCACCTTCCCTCCAAGTTTCCTTTCGAGTCCGCCTATTGTCATCCGCAACTTCCTTCTTACTGCAGACATCCAAAATCAGAGATCACCACCATCACATCGTCAGCTTGTAGACAGGGAAAGAGTATTGCATAAAACTCTGGGATCCACCCAACCACACTACTCTCGAGGCTACATCCGGCCTCTACATTTCTCACCAGCAACTAATCATTTACATACATACGATAATTTATAGAATCAGCACAATGACCACAGTTGCCGTATCTCTCACTGCACTTCGCATAGTCCCGAGGGGCACTCACATCCATCAATTGTGAAGTCAATGGATTGAACTTAAAAGGATAGGGGTCTGTGAAGCCACTGGTACCTCCAGTAGCTGGTCCTTCCATTTTATTTCCTGCTTCGTGTTTCTTGTTTGCCTTACTACCCCTTCTTTGACGGCCCCCTTTGCTTGGGTGCACATGTTGCGGCTGGCTTTTTGGGGTAGGAAGGAGTTGTGCTGGTGGTGGGACTGTGTTGAAACTTTCCCTTCGCAAGCTCATAGGTTGAGCCTGGTGATTATCCAAAGCAGAATCTTGGTCGCAAGTTTTTGGTAGCAGTGTAGTGGTTTGCTCTGTATCCTTTATTGTCTTCAGATATCCAGCACTGACGAAATTTATTTGCCACCATTGCAACTTTGGATTATTGGGATTAGGAACGAATTCTGGCGCTGATCCTCGGAGAGGTTTCGGCTCTCCAGCGAAGGCCTTATTAAACTTAGCAGTGTATAAGTATTGCGTGGTGTCACTGACGAGCGAGGAGTCTTCGAAAAAAGACGTCCCTTGAAATATCTCGTTTATTTCATCTATTTCATCTTTGGACGATTCAACCTCGACATGCGAGGCACAATCCGTGGTTGAAGCATCTCCATTTGCAGGATCCGATGAAACGTTCGTGCCATCACTCTTTCCGGGCTCGCGTGCTGGCTCCTTCCCAAAAGAAGAGGACGTGCTTTCCATCGCTCGAGTCTCCAGTGCGGTGCTGCGAACTCTCTCGCCAAATGAGTTATAATTTAGCGTGCGAGCAAATATGAAGTCAAGCTCAGCTTCATCGTTTCCGTATCTCACAACATTCTATTGCCTTGTGTGCGGGGTTAGTGTAACATAATGACCCCCAATATAATTGGGCATAGAGGACGCATGTGACTTCTTGGCACCATTATCAACAATACAGTGTTGTCTGGAAGCCGTGGGTATCTTGAAAGGTTTTGTTTCGCATACCTAGGGTTGTCGTTTCACTCAATCGAAAATAACAAGCACGTGACTCCCAGATCACGAGCTTTGTATTGAAAATAGAAGCCATTGGTGGAGCATTCCGAATATCTCACGTTATACAACCATTCGAGAATTTCCTTCTCCTTTTTAATTTGTTCGACATGTACCTTGACGACTCCTGCAATACTCCTCGATCCCATATCATGTGACAAGCTTGGACCCCCTTTTCCAGAACCGCATCAAGCGAGCCAACCATATCGTCTAATAAATGGATGCTTAACTGCAAATGAGTCTTCCTGATTTCGGTGCTGTCAAAACTCTAAATGGGTCGAATTGGGTGTCCTCATGTAAAGTGATCATTTTTTCCGGAGCTAGGTATATCAAAAGTCCGTAGCCCGTACAGCGCTCAGCTGCATGTTCAAATTCACATTCCGTTCTACTCCCTCTGCCATCATTTTTCTTACAACAAGTTTCCTTGCTGTCCATGCACCATTGCGAATAATGCCGGAAGCGTCTGAAGCGGTGGACTCGATTGTAGGCATTGTGAATTTCGGTCTGCGGCTCGCCACGACACTACAAACATATGTTGAGACGGCGCTTGAGGCTGAGGAAAGAATGCGTGATATCACATTCGACATCAACTCAACTGCTTCTGCATTGAAGCAGCTTCAGGACATTATTGAACATGATAAAGCAGACGACAACCTTGGTGAATTCGGTACCAGAGTCTTCAAAGACGAAGGTCGTCGGGAAATCGAGGCCATCGCTCATAAATGTGGAAAGATTTATAGAACGGTGGTGCTTTTGGTGAACAAAGCTAGCACTTCGGGTTTCAAAAAAGTCATACCAGTAGCTTCTTCTGAAATTGTCCATCTGAAAGTATCGAGTCTGACTCGGATGAAATGGCCTTGGGTTGAGCCCCATATTAAAAGATGCCAGGAACAACTGAGGTGGTTGAAAATGAGTCTGCTCTTCAATCTGCAACTTGCAAGTCTGGCAAGATCACAACTGAGGTACGTCTTCTTGATTATTCGGTTTATATTCCTGACCTCTCTCAGTGCACGCGATAAAATGTCCAAAGAGGATGAGCTTCAAATGAAGAAGATGGTTATATCGTTGAGGGAAAAGGAAATCAAGACAGCAAAGTTATTGATCGGAAAGCCAGAAAAGTCTCAACCCAGCACAGTCTCATCTGTTCCTTCTTCTGGTACCTCGCGATCTTCAGCCCCTCCTTCGTCACAACCAGGGCTACACAAAAGCTTGACAAGCAATTCCCTTGTGAAAGATCGCTCTCTCCACGATGAATATAGCTTGACTGAAACAGGTAACATGAGGTATGTTAGCAAAGCCACTCAGTAGTTCCTCTCTAACCCTTTCGGTATGAAGGAGACCAAATATCAAGGTTAAAAGCACCCTCTATCAGCCAATTTCTGATACGTTTTTCCAATATCCTGCCGATCTATCAAAGATCGAACCGGAGCGTCCCAGGATAAGTAATGCGGTTTCAGTAGATGGCATTATCAAGTCAGAAGAGCAGTTGAGCCAACAGCCAGATTTCCCATCTGTGGATGAAGAAGCCAATTTACCTTTACCGGACGCCTTAGGATCGTGTCACCAGCTCCCCGCACCCGCCAGGGGGAGGAGTATTGATTCAAGTCAGCACAGTCGCTACTCTGCAAAATCCAAGGCGCTCCGCCTCAAAAGGCTCCCTTCACAATTCAGAAATATCTTCAGTCCGCGTAGGAAGAGTCATGACTGGGAAAGCGAATCATTGGAAGCTTTCGCTCTTCTCAATAACTCAACGAGCCTAATTAAGGTTCATTTCGGGGATCGGGGACTGCGACAACTGATGCAAACATTAAACGTATCACCGGATACATATGCTTCTCTTGATTCGCACCAAATTGCACGTATTGATAGCGCTATTCTCGACGTCAAGCTCTTAGACTCACGTGAAAAGATGTGTTTAGGTGTTGGCGTAAATCCCAAAGTTCGCCTCGATGCCATCTTTATTTTCTTCTCATTGGGTGACCACGTAGAACCAATATATTTTACCGATTTCTTGGGGCGGGAGCTCCTATTTCCCCCTCAATTCTTCCGGTCCTGGGATGTAAGATATCTTTACTTGGACAAGTATGATAGTCATACACTAACTATGTACACAGAAATCAAACCAGGAATTTATAAAAGTGTTCCAACATATGGGTGAAGTGGGACGTCATGTTTCCGACGGTTTCTATGATATCATTGACGAGAAAGGGAATATTCTCACCCCAAACACAATAAAATCTCTGGTAGAACCAGGCTCTCGTCTCGGTATGCGGATGTGGGCCAAGCCAGAGATGGACCTTCACCTCATCGTCGCCGAGAAGGAAGCCATAAATAAAGCAAAAACTATGGCTGATAACCTCATCGCCTGTGAAACAGAGACGGAGGGGTCCTACAACAGGCTGCGCCCAAATGTCAGCGAAGCTGGGCATGTGCCGGCAATCAGAAAGAAAGTTTTCCAAAAAATGATCGGCCACCTCCACTCGGGTCGACATGATAACTCCGAATCCAACTACGGACGAGCAGCTAAACCTCCCACGATTGCTGGGGAGTCGGGTGGTGGTAAGAGACTGCTTCGAAAAAGCTACAATGAAAACAGGGAGCCACATGAGGATGACGATTTTGGTAACGCAATGGAAATGCAACAAGACCTTCCCCATCCTTATGTATCTCCAAATTCACTCAGGAAAACCCTCGCAACAAAAGCATCTATGATCTCCAACGATGAGCCTGCTATGCCTGGAGATGAATTGAATGGGGACTCCAAGCCGGTAAAGTTTTCAGCGCCAGATGCGGATACTAATCTAGACCTTGATTTTACTCATAGCATGGAAAATCTGAATATAAGAGAGCTACTGGGGAGATATACAAACGCTATCGATACTGCAATTGAAATGAAGGAAGATGGCGAGGTTCCCTCCTATTGAGATACGTGCATTTAGTTCGGGATAGCCAAGCTTCACAAATAATCATTAGCTTTCAAATATAAAAAACACATAGCCATTATGATATCTCGCGATATTTGTGTCGTGAATTTGTTACCTGCTATAGTAACACTAATCGAGATTCGAAAACCGATTCATCGAACTCTTCATCAAAGCAAAGGGTTTTCCCGCGTACTACTATCCTCACCTCGCAATTAATTTAAATAACCAATCAAATACATATCAATACAAGTCAACCCAAGTCTGGAAAATTAGGCGTAATTTCCTCTACAAGGATTTAACACAAGGCTAATAACAGCTGCTCAAATCTCACAACGACAGACTGTATATGCATCCCATCACGACAGTAACGGACAGTTTCTGACTACATACATCGCATCCCGCCCAAAAATTGGCAATCAAGCTAGCCTGGTCGTTATTCTTAGTAAATTCAATAGATCCATCACGGCGTCCCTACAGCCTCGATAAATTACCAAATATGAGATAAATCTCGACTTTTAAACGTGTTACCGTATTTAAAACTATTGAGCCCAAGATTTTATAAGCCTCCTAAACCTTAATTTTGCAGCTATTCCTTGGTTTATTCCTTGAGAGGAGCTAGTGAGCTATCTCCACTAACCGAGAGGTACTCCTTTATTTCTCGCTTATCTAACAGACCTTACTATGAAGCTTACCGAGTTCAAGGCTTGAAGTACGCCCAAACAATTCTAAAAAGACTCTGATTTCCGAAAGACATCTCGGCGCTTATATTTGAATGCGATGTGAGTAGTAGTACCATACCCCGTAATATTTTGAAAACATTTCTTAATCATAAGTAGGCACCGGTATTCTCGTACTTTTGAACTTTGGCCTCCCTGCTTGTAGCTAATGTAGGCAAGAACAGGGTATCTAATAAATAGAGATATGAAAACCCGAAGGAAAAAAAAGATTCTGTACCCTTTGATAGTATGCCCCCTCTTTGGCGGGACTTAGTAGTTTCTTGTTTTCTTTTAATGATAGTTCGCAACAATTCTAAATCCAAAGTAAACAAATACCACCATATTAGAAACAAATATAAACCACCTTATCTCCTCCAGAGAAGTCCACCTAAAGTAATCAAAATTTCAAGTAGACCCTGCACATTGTAGACCATCCCGGCGCTCAAAGTTGCTGCCGTGAGAGTGCAAGATTGCAATGGCAAAAATGGCTTCTTGAACATTTTTTGGTCAAATCAGATACTCTCTCATTTCTTTTCAAATCACAAATCACACAAAATCAAATCAAATGGAACTGTATGTTTTCCCTCATCATCACATTCTTGAAAAAACGCAATCTATAGCCTCTAAACCCCCCAAACGCTGTCCTCATCGTACAGCTGAACTCCTGAAAACAAAACACATTACAGCAAAATCAGCACAAACTTCTTCTGAAGCCTTGTCGTACTCCTCCCTCCCAAAACTTTTTACTCGTCATGGTTGATGCCAGCAGGGATGACGACTGGCTCTCTCTTCTTGAAGGGGCCACGGATGATTTGAGGAAGTGGCATCAATTGCGGTTTCTTAGGGCTCTCAGGCAGTTTGGCGGGCTGTGGGAGCTTTTGTACTCTTCCGTTGTGCTGAACAAGTACTGCGGGATTATTGGCGGGTGTTATTGCTGCGATGAGTCTATCGACCCAGGTAGGTGCACGTGGTGGTGGTGCTCTGGCAATAAGGTGTTCGCCTAACTGAACAGGGACTCCAGCAACCAAAGTCGAAGCAACAGCCACGACCGCAAGAATGTTTGGAAGCAACATGGTGAAGGTGGAATAAAGTTGAAGTAAAGTGTTGAAATACGAAGTTAAAAAGGCAAATACTGTGTAGTGTGAAACGAGTGTGGTGAAGTGAACAAAACTAGAAAAACTAGCAAAAAAAGAAGAGAAAAAGAAACGAATGTGGTGATGAGGAACGAGTGTGGTGGGTGAGGAATTAAAACTGGTGAGCTAGACTTCTATCTTATAGAAGTACAAATGACAGTAAGCTCGAAATCTTCATACACAAGAAATGATACCCACATTAGATCGGTGTACTCCGTACTTAATTGACTTTGGTGATCAGGGATGCCTTTGACTACTCTGTTTTACGAAGTACCCGGCAGGGATAAAGCTCGCTACTCGATCGTCGGTGGGGTTGTAGCGAAAGAATACAGCTCTCTGATTCATTAGAAACCCCCTCTTCATAAAATTCGTAGAAGTAAGCTCATGCACTGAAACTACAAGCATTCTTGATTAGATAACCGTCCTTGCATTGAGTTCGATTCAAAGTGCATACGGTACGGATGTCACGATCCGCACACAAGCCTACGACGGTAAAAATATACTGAGTCCGAGCTTTACGTTGGCGGAACGTCCGATATGTCCGATTTTAACCACGAGGTCGCCAGGACGACTAGTTCGACTCCACTCAGACAGAAAACTTGGAAGACAGAAAACCTCACCTCTTCCAAATGACGGCTTTTACTCGGTACTCTGTCAAAACTAACGTCCTTCAAGGCAGAAGTTTCACGCCGGTCCAGATACATGTGAATTTTGGTTGTTGTAGACTTTATGGCATGACTCTCGCCGTAGCACGTATCTAGTACGATGGAGTTCAAGTCGATACAACAGTTTTAGACCCAAACATACCCACTTTCCAAGCGGCAATCCAGCACTTCGCCTTCGAGATCTTCACGCAAATAGGCCTGACACGCCGTACTCACTGAAATTACTTTGTGAAGGGCCACCACTAAAATCGGCACTTGCAAAAATGCAGCTCGAAAATTACTTGTAAATCTACCACTCAATCGTCTTTTCCCTTTCCCACTACGCGCCTTGGAGCTCACTTCCGAAGTCGCTACCACCAGTTACTATTCTGGGCTAGGTTTCGCTTCGTAGATCCCTTGACCCCGCGGGCAACCTCCACGCTCCAAGAGGCCCCATAGAAATAGTTGAATATACTCCAGTGGAGTAAATTACATGGATTTCGTATTAGTGCAGCCGTATAGTACCTATCCCTTCGTGTGTAACACACACAGCGCCAAGGCTTCGCCCCAACGTCAGGTCTCGAACGCGTATAATTCCATCTAGTAGTCACACGTCGAGTTACAGCTCTTTATTAAACCACCTACTAGTACAGAAACGTCGTAAATCTATGATTTACTATAAGAAATACTCGAGTAGTATAGCTTAAACTAATATCTTCCGCCAGTTTAATGGTTCTATCTAAGTATAAGCATACTACTAGTCACGAGACAAGGCGTTTTAATACTTGGCATGTCCTAATTAGGTATAATGGCGCCACGGCTCGCTTAAAGGCCCATACCAAGCCTGGGCGCTGTGTTGTCACACACGAAGGGATAAAATTAACTCGGTCATGCACGTAATGAGTTCAACATGAACATCATCCTCACCACCACGCTGAAAGCGATTGGTGAGAAATCGAGACACAACGTTACTGAGGTGATTGAGACATTAACTTGCCCTCAAGTAACTTCATGTTGAGGATTTGGAGTAATTGTAGGCGTGGGCACTGGGCACTATGAGACTTCTGGAATCTGCACATGACTTCAAATCCACTCCTTCTAAATTATTGCTTGTTTTGACTTTTATATTTCCCGCGTTATCTTGACCCCGTAAAGCTTAATCTACCTATTTTTGTATACCCCCAGATGGCGCAATTTCCTTTAGATATGCCACTAACAAACAGAGCTATTTATCCGTCGTAGTAAAAGTGGAATTCTTTTTCCCTATTAACTCCCCCCTCCTAACCTTAACAGATGTTATGGTTAGCCTTTAAACAAAAGTCTTAAAACGTAAGCTTCAATGACAAAATTCTTGGATCCTTAGCTAAGGCTAGAGTGGGTCGTCGACTTATCAACAGGGTACTGTTTGGGTTTAGCGACAGCGCAGAGGAAAGACGCACTGACTACAGTATTGACTCGAGCTGGGAGCTCTTAGAAGTAAAGCCGTCAATCATTCCCCTTATAAGTTTCACTGCGAACGGACTTCTCTGACTGTTAGAATTACCTCCCATCAAATGCTTTCCAGCTTCAAAGCTCCGAATTGTCCTTACTTTCATGCGGAAAAATGTTAGGAAATAGCAACTTAGCATCTCCAAATAGAATTATCACCTATGCACCACTTCAATGGTTTATTAGTAGAAACCCCGTGAATCAATGGCATCATCAGCGGTGTTATTTCCGCCAGTTGAGAGATTTTAATCCTCCAAGGTTTGTCACGTAGCTACGCCAAAAGAAATCATTGAGCAAAATAAATTGTCTACGAAGTAAGTTCCTTATTGAGCTATGTATTTCTTGTCCTTGCGGATCTTTTTACTACTGTATTAGCCACGATCACTTGGCGCTGATATATGTAACAACGAATCCCATTATCTTGATCAGTGCAGTTTCTTTGACACGACAATGCTGGTATACTTCGCTTATTCTCCATGGGACCGGTCAGTCATATAATTACTGGGAATATCTTAAAAATTATTTGTTGAGTACTGAACAACTAACAGTATGTATCTCTAGCCTTCTATTCTCAAATCACGGGGTTAGTGTAATCTAGTGTACGAGCGTATTTGATGAAAGATCCTACTGTCAGCCGCAGCTGTTATTTCTCCATAATGAGGTCGCCAGACAAACTCACAAACTGGAAAGAATAGATTGAGAGCGTCGGTATTATTAAAACACATATTTTCCTTCCTGGTGATACTATACCTACCGAGTTGTATAAATCTTGACTGGGGAAAATAAGTATTTGCCATCCTTGATTCTTTGAAGCGTATATTAAGCCGTTTCTAAGTAACTTTCTAATAAAAACAATATGCTATAGAGCTGTAGCCGTACCTTTAGAAGCTTTTATCCTCTCTCTCAAGACTAGTAGATTGGTGTATGCCGATATTCCCATGATCTATAAGAGCTTTTACTTACCAAGTTACCCTTTAGATATGAAACGTTGAAATATACAAATAGATATCAAGAAAAGTATTTAAACAAGTATGCTTTATTAAATGTTCTATTTTCTTAACGAAAGGTTAATTAATAAGTTAATACAGATTATTAGGCTAAGTAAATGTGTAAAAAATATATATCTAATTCTCTTAGTTCGTGTCTTATAAATTTAATAATTTTTTATCTAAGGGAAAAAAGAAATCGCTTGTTTATACCTATTATAGTATATATACTTATAACATAACAGCGAATGACTATTATAAACTCGGAAGCTTATTATATCGTAATTCATTTTCCCAGTAACTTTTACCGTGATGCTATCTTATGCCTAGGCATCTCCTATTTCCATTCACAGCTTTTCACCATTTTTGCCCAACTCCACGATTTGATCAACACCGTCATACTCCGGTAAGTCCAGATTATACTTCCTCGCAATACCTGGACTGACGAATCTAGAAGTCGCATCAGTTAACCATTCCCGCGAGTTGCCCCCATTTATAATAATTGCTCATCTAATCATGAAGATCTACTTCAAGGTATAAAAAAAAGCGAGTTCGTAAAGCAAGATCAACACTTTTCAAAACAAAATCAAACGAATCACTTACCGACCACCCAAAAAATGTCTACCAGTAAACCAACCAACCAAAGGTTTCGGTGCCGTCAAGCTCACGAGGAAATCCGGCATGAATTTCGCACCAGGTCCTTCACTTGGTGGTCCCTTTTCGATGTCCCACGATGAGGGGGCATCAACCGCCGTTACGGGGATCTTTGTGTTTTCAAGAGCTGTGATTACTGAGGGAAATGGCTCACGGAGAGGACTGGAGAAGGAGAATCCTGTGGAGTTTAGCTATGAAAGTTGACATTCGTGAATGGATAGAATTACCAAATATGGCATCGACTACGTGATCGGTTTCTTGAAGAGATGCTGAGAAGTCTGTTGTGAACGGGACGGAGAGATCTTTGAGTTGGGTTGCTAGACGCTATTTATTGTGTTAGCTTACTGGTTGGTTGTTTTATAAGTGTATGGAAGAAGTCGCACTAAAGGAAAATGGAGACCTCCAACTCCCCCTTCTGTTTATCCTCACAAACGAAGACTTTGCGTCAAAGAAACAAAGAGTGGCCTTGATAGCAAAAGATTTTGATTGGAAAGCAAAAGGAGTCAATGAAATGGTACTCATACCTGATAAAGCTCATTCTTACTCTGTTTCGGATAATAAACCGTAGGTGTATACCCATAATTCCAAAGATGTCTCGCAGCCACAAGTCCATCACCACCTACATTCATCAGCTTCTGTCACCATACTACTCACCTTCCCCACGCACTCTACATCCCACCCATTCATGACCCAAACCTAACATCCAAAATAAAAAAGAAACTCACCATTATTCCCCGGCCCACAAGCAACCAAAACCCTCCGTCCTCGACTGGGAGGATGAACACGATATACTTCCCAAATACCTCAGTACTCTTAAAATTACCAAGTAGGGGATCGAGCTCACCAGCTTGTGAAACACTTAATCCAGCTAGTTCCATTAGTTGATCAATAGAGAAGGCACCGACGGACATCAGGTCCTTGTCTAACGCAGCTGCATTCGCAGCGGAGAGAGTCTGATAGAATTTCAGCTTTTTGATGATTGATCAGGCGTTCGATATTGATAGATGGGAGGTTTACCTTGAAGGCCATGATTGTATTATGTACTTTCTCCGTACGGTAGGAGACAGATGAGGATGTCGATATTGTTTCTCAAATTCTGGAAATCGAAAATCCACCGAACCAAATTCGACGAAAGTAGAAAATTTTCAAGAGTCTCGAACTGTACGAGACCAATTACCTCATTCAAAGTATTCAAAGTCCTGCAGAAGACATCTCACATCATTCACTCCTTCCCCACCATCACATCCATCCAACCCCACCTCTCCGCTCCTCCGCCCCGCCCCGCCCGCCGAACCCCTGTCCCAAAAATCCCATCGCAATCAACACCACTATCCTTCTCAATTCACGACAATATACAACCCACCCACCATGGTCGTGAAAATCAGATTAGCACGTTTCGGACGACGAAAAGCTCCATTCTACAATATCGTCGTGGCACAGGCTCGGTACGTCAATATCCCGGGTGGCGCGTCAAGGAGTCAGGGCGCAAGAGAAGGATCTTGAAGAACGAGAGCTAAAGCTAATGATATACAACACAGAACAGCGAGGAATAGCAAGCCAATCGAGGTTCTGGGTACATCTCCCCTCCTTTCCCTTTCCCCCCATCCCCATCGTTCCTCCTCGAAACCCAAGAGTCCGGGATCGATCCGCCATCCGCGATGAATACACATGTATAAAAAGAGCAGTACTTACAAAAAAACAGGCACCTACGACCCCATCCCCAAAGCCCCCATTGACGGCGAAGGCAAGCCTTTTAAGGATATCAAACTCGACTCGGCGCGCGCGAAGTACTGGTTGGGAGTTGGTGCTCAACCAAGTGATCCGGCGTGGAGGCTGTTGTCGATGGTGTGTACTGCCTTCTTTCCACCCGATTTTGCCTTTTACATTCAAAGACCCCCGAGGAAGTGGAGAGGATGGAGATGGGAGAGGGAGAGAAGGAAGGATTGTTAACGAGATACAGGCTGGTCTCCTCCCGCCGAAATACACGCCCAAACCCCCATCGTCACCTGTAGCAGGAGAAACAGACGCAGATACAATGAAGGAGCAATTTCCTAGCGAAGAATTGAGTCGGAGCTGAGGAGATGGATTTTATGAAAAAGACAGAGAGGTCAGGGCAAGCGAGATGGGAGGAGGCAATGTTGCATAACCCTGGCGTTATTCCGCGATTTCCACAGTGAAGGGTATATCGCACCAAATACAGTAAACACAATTGGCCAGGTGGGACGACCAGGAGATGAGGAGAGAATCATGATGTGTATGATACTTGTACATGTAAAGTAAATAAAAAAACAATTGAAAATGCTTTAAATATAAAACACTAGATTTATATATCATCATACCTACACCGAAATATCTAAGATGCTACGACAAATCTATCTCCTGCGCTGGTACATCCACTCTCTAACAATCTCCTCATCCTCCCAATGTAACCAGTGCACATACATCCGCATACCATCGTATCTCATTAATGAATTTATAAAGGGAAACAAGAATAATCAAGATCAGAGCTCTCTGAACGCCCATCCCAAATGCATAATCGAACCTCGCCCCGGAGAGCTACCCAATGCAAGAAGAGAAGGCAAAGAAAAAGAAAAGAGAAGGTATACATTTAATGTCCCGCTGCTCCAGCAAACAAGTTAGTCCCTAGACATAAAATCATCACAAAGAGCCCATAAATAGCCAGAGCAAGTGACATCTTTCGGAGGAGAGCTTGACGCCATTGACTGGATCCAAAGCCAGTTCTACCACTATTCCCCTCTTCTTCTTCATCCCCGCTATCCCCTTCATCGTCGTCTTTGGATAGACGTTGATGATGCAATGATTCAGGGGACGAGATTTTGTAATAGAATAATCCGGGGAGGATGAAGCTGATACTAGTACTGCCTGTACTTCCAACGTAAGCAAGAACTTTATCAAGCGATGATACAGTCATGGCTGCTGTGTAACTTAGGATTATGATTGCTGTAGTTATGATGGCGAATCTTAGCTCGCCAATTGTGTCGTTTCTTGCGACGGGTTGGGCTCCACTTCCGCCGAGTAGGGGAATTGCTCTTGCTGGGGAAGAGCTGGGTGAGTTTCTTGGTTTTGTCAAGTTATTTGGTCGCCATTTCAAGACGGCATCTACTGATGCTCTGCATGGATGGACTTGAAGCGGGTATGAGAACATCACCAGAATTACAATAGCAGCCTTTGCTATTGTAGAAGCAATTGATGGGACGTCTGGTTATATGTTAGAGCAGTCAATAGAATACTGAACAGAGCCAACTTACACATCCCAACAATGTTACCAATAACCTTGTTACCAAATGACAAATAACCAGTGATGGCAACAAGAACATAGACTGAGGCAGCGGAGCCAATACTAGCAGCAATTACACTAGTAGTTCTAGAACCGATGGTGAGCATAATCTGGGAAAAATTCGTTGGAAGAACTTACTGTCTATGAGAATTATCTTTAATCTCATTCAGAATGGAAAACATCTGCAGGGGTCAGTGAAAGGCCTAAAATGTTCAAAAATATAAATCCTACATTCTGATGGCATGTATACGCAAACACAATGACCGGGAAACTTTTGAGCGCGGGAATAAGTCCGCCCCAGGCAATTACTCTAATATCGCCCCGGTCTGTTTTGGTATCTCCCTTCACAAAGTGAAAAACAACAAGTACAACCAAATATCCAATGGATATCAATGCAATAATACTGGTGTACTTGAGGGAATCTAGGCGTCGGAGAAAAGAAAGTGGTATCACAACAAGCCTGTGTCACATGTCAGTTATTTCTCACGTCGCGTGGAATGGAGGTACAAACATGAATACTGTGACCCAGAAATGTCTATCAACGAGAAAGGGGACAGCATCAGCCCCTGGATTGAACCCTCTCACAACTCCTGGCATAAGGTCTCCAATGATAATTAGATAGCTTACACCCACCCCAAAGCACTTGATCGCGATCGCTGCATCGAATATCACAGCAGCATTTGGGTAGGTAATCTGCGAGAGGGCGAAAAAGGAGGATGTTCCCCTTTCCAGATATCGAGCGCATCGAGTTTGTAAATATAACCCAAAGGCAGCCGTCATTCCTGACCATATTATAACAAATGTTCCGAGGAGGATACCGAAATGCGACATTGCAAGCTAAACGTCATGGATCAGTCTTGCGTCATTTGCTATTTTCAGCTTGATTCCATATAACTTACAGGCATTGCCAATGTCCCGGCTCCAATGACTGTGAAATATAGTTAGACCTTGACTGATTGCAATAGCTTCTTGAGAACATACTGGTGTTGACGAGGTTAACATTGCTGCTAAACCAAGAAGCCTGGCCGGTAAAATTCAAATCCTTCGCAGAGCGACTCGATCGCCTTCTGCAATTCATGAATCAGTTCCATATCCACATATGCTGAGGATTGTCTTTGCTAACCTTCTCCCTCTGCTACCTGCATCTGATGAGTTCCCACTAGCACCGCCAACTGACGAGTATGATGCCATTTCCCCGGACTTCCAATACCGGTATTATGCTTCCAATCCGTGCTTAAGCTCAATCGCAGGTTCGATGGAGGGTCTTCAGCCGGAAGTTTCTCGAGATATCGCTTGCGACAACTTTTGAGTGATGGACGTTTATAATAGGAAATTTCTCCTCGTGAACAGATGTTAGAATGCGAAATGCGGCGCTGAATGTTGGTCCTCGGTCATTCTGCGGAATGCCCTTCAGAGTGCCGACGCGAGGAGGGTAGTAGAAATCCAAAGATTTCCGAGTTTTGGAGACGATTCTCTATTATCTTTGATGGCGAGAAAGCGACAGTTTCATGTGTTGTTGAGGATGAACCGTCCAGTTTACGAAATAGAACCCGAAGACCACCGGCACGTAGGTACGAGTTACGGCGGCAGGGTGAACCTCGATGGAACACTTGGCGCGAATGCCAAGCGGAGGACATTACCGCCAGGTGCTGCACAAGGCTGACGGAAAGACCGTTGTTATCAAGCCGCTATCAAGATCTCAAGAACCAGCAACCACGGTCTCTATTTTCGTTGGGGTGTGATTATCGCGATACCAGTCATCATGGAGAACTCTTTCGACAAAACGGCTACAGAGACAATTGATCTTCTAGAAGCCAGGCTTCGCAGAATCGAATATGCGGTGTGCGGTCATATTGATCAAGCTACACTGGAAACCCAAAAGGATTCTGCCACCAAACGCATGTCAGATTTGGAGCAATCTCTTCACCAACTAGCATCCAAATCAAAAGTCATTCAAGATCTTCTAAAGCTTCGTATGTACCTAAAAACAAGTGTATCTTCACGGCAGAAACTTAACTCTCCAGATTCCAAACACCCCGATTTATTCCAACAAATATCTCCCAATGAAGTTCCCACCACACTCGATACCTCCAGTCTCCTCTCAATCATTCTCGCATCTGCTAGCTCGTATCCATCAACCGCCTCACGATTAACGTCCGTAGTCGATACACCAATTCCCCCTACCCGCCTCTCAGCCCAACTAATTGACCTCCAACCACGAATCGCAAAGATCGGTACACTGCAAGCCTCTCAAAGCGCAGAACTGGCAGAATTGAGAGAAAGAAGCGCTACCGCAATTCAACAATGGTACGCGATCAATATTCTTCAGTCTGGAGATTTATGGGCGGAAATCGAGGGAAGAGTTGGACAAGTTGAGCAGAAAGTCCGAAGGGCAGCACTTGCAAAACGAGCCGATGATGCGATGATATGAAGAGGATACCCTTTCTGAATCAGCAGCAGCAAGGTACCGTAGAATTTTATCAGACGAAGAAAAATGTCTAGAGGGGTGGTTGGTTAGGGATGAGACTCCGACGATCGAGAGCCGTGCCGTATCGGAAAGGAATGCCGTGTTTCGAAACCTGTCAAGCTTACGGCGACATGGAAAGGATTTTGCTTGCGGCATTTCGGAACCAAAGTTCCTTATCGGTACTTTTAGAAAGTTCCACGATACCGAAGTCCGAAATTGGCCTAGAGTCTCGCTGGGACTTTGAGGTTCTTGTTCTTCTGGGAGAATGTCGAGGCCGAGAAATTAATATTGCGGGTTGCTTGGCGGTATTATGTCTTCATTTACAGAGGGAAGCCATTACTTCTTTATGGAGAACAGGATTCTGCCTTTTGGACTCGAGGTCGAATTGTATTGATGGGTGTATCTGGAAAGAGTCATGGGCTTGCTGTAATGACGTTCGGTCCAAGCTGACGTAGTTGTGAGGTTTCTACACGAGTATCATAAAGCTAATCGAAAGAACACCACCAAATCACTAACTTTTACCATAAACTTTTACCATACACTCAATATTCCATGAACTAATCTCCCATCAATCTTCTTACCTCGTATATAGTACTTAGTCTGTAACTAAGTATAGTACTCTCTTAAAACCCATCACGTTTTTCCCTCCCACTACTTGGTATTATATCCCTTCGTAATATACTTCATACATCAAGAATACAAAGACGGAGCTACCCCCTTCTTCACAGGAAAAGTATTTTATATATCCATGTCACCGAGTTCTAACCTGCATCGTTATTTAACTATACTGTACCGGTACTTAAATTACTTTGTATAAAGTATCTTGGGAAGAAATGAAAAAAAAAGAGAAAAGAAGAAGAAAGAAATTTTATATGAAACTCGAAACTTGAAACGTCGTGAGTTTTTCTTGGGGTCTTGTACTTCCTTTGTATAAAGTAAAGTATAAAGTATAGAGGTAGAGGATGGAGTAAGTATAGAGTAAGTATAGAGTAAGTATGGAGTAAGTATGGAGTATAGAGTAAGTATGGAGTATAGTGTATGAAATAATTTACTCGAGACTAAATTTATAGTCTGAATGATTGTTTGATACGAAGTATTACGGAGGTAGAGTAAATATAGTAAATTTACTGGTGAGTAGAAAGGAAAGGAAAAGGGAAGGAAAGGAAGGGAGAGGACTTGGTTGTTGTGGTTGAGGGAGTGGGAGGGGAGAGGAGGGATGGTCTTGAGGAGTATGAAAATGGAAAAGGAGATGAAGATTTTAGGAACTTGGGAAGGGTGAGAATTTTGAAGGGATTTGGTGATGGATATTGTGGTTTTATGGGGAGGGGTGTATGTTGGTTGTATATTATCTCTCTTATTCTATTCACGATCCTTCTCCTTTCTTTTATTTCATTTATTTCACCAACCTCAGGAATCTAGAGAATCAAGTACTCCTACTACTGCTACTAAATACGCGGTCAAGCTATAATAATAACCTCCCATCCTCAGCCACATCATTCACATTCACATTCATCTCAATTATGTTCTGCACTGTGCTACTGTACACTCCTTCCCAACCAATCAAAACCCACCCTCCCCTTTTTCAGCGGGCCCGCCAGGGCCTGTGGACTACTCTTAAAGTTTAAACCTTTACCTTGGCGTATCCCTGTTCTTCCATGAAACCAAGGCAACTCGTACTTCGAAGTACGTATTTCTTGGGTCTTGGTGTGGGGAAGTCGGAGTGTGTGTGAGGGTGTGAAATGATGGATTTTCTTAGGGATGTTGATCTAGTGGTCTAGAATTCTTTGGTGTGGTGGATAGATGGGTAAGGCGAAGAGGAGAGGAGAGGAGAGGGTGTTGAAACGAATAATTATGGAATGGAATGAAATTCATGGCGAGAGAGTGTGATTTAATTCATACCTAGTGAGAGAACATGGCAAAGGTTGGATGGAGAAGTAGAGAGGTAAATTAACTAGGGTAGAAGTAGGAGTATAAAACGAAACGAAAGGACTATAGATAGAAGATTCAAGGATAGACTTGCTTGTTATATAATTACCGATTTAGGCAAGTTAATTTAGCTTCGCTAATTAACATTAGACTCAAATTTCCATGTGACATGGGCTCGGTTACTACCGTACAACCGTATATCTCTTCAGAACCTGGAAGTTCTGAGCGCTGTCAATGATTAGCATATCCTCAAGACCTGACGTTGCAGTCACCTATGAGGTTACAGTGCATACCTACCCCGTACGGAGGAGGTACAGTACAGTACTGTACGTAGTAAATGTGCGTTTGGACATGTCACTTTGGACTTTGGATGAATTTGAAACTCGCATCAGGGGAAGGTTCCTGTCTGAGACTAGTTTTTTTTCTTCCTTTTTTCCGTGACTGGTGCGTGACTGGTGTTGAAGATAGAGGTAGGGTTAGGGTTGGTTTTCGGAGTACGGAGTAGATAGTTATTGGTAGGTAGATGTGGGTGTTCTCCTAGGAGTGTCATGCCGTTGTTGGAGAGTGGAACAGATGGCGTTGCTTGCTACCTGGGACTTGGGATTCTGTGTCGTGGGTGTTTCTCGGAGGTTCTGGACCTGCAAAATGATAATTGGATTTTTGGAAGGGGGGAAATTAGTTTGATTGGAGGGATTGGTGAAATGGTTTGAAATGGCTAATTATTTTGGTTGGTTGGTACTAGAGATGGGATTGTGTGGTAGTCTGGTAGAGAATTTGACAGGTGCAGAGATGTCAAGGCGGTTGATGGGACGTACATACTTCGACCTGCGTCGTTATTGTCAGACTTACTCGGTCGGATACTCACAGCCAGTGGAATGCTGTGAATTGTCGAGGTTGCGGTACTACGCCCGGATCGCTTGGTATATATTCATATCTCCAGGGTCTTCTTCGTGTGTCGAGATGTTACTTTGATGTGGCGTGAGAAGGATACCGGAAAAGATTGGATGGGATTGAAAGTTCTGCAGCAGTTACAAGTACATACATCACATCCCCACGCGCAGGTCTCACCACGAAGCAAACACAGCGGGTTCTTGTACTCTACTTGAAGCGCCGTGCTCCACAATGAGGGGATACAATCACTTTGTCAACGTGGTTGCCATTCACTGCCAGAAGAAGTCGTGTATGGGGGACATTGGCTGGCGTGACTGGCTCTTGGTGACTGGATTCCTTGGTACACGATCGCATAAGAGTTGTGTAAATTTACTCTGTACGGAACGGAGGTTCGCACATTATTCTTCTTGCATCCAATCCTCGCATCCCAGGTTGCTCGTAAATTAATGACAGCATGCCCAAGCCCAAAATACTCGCAAGGACTTCAACGCAATCAAAGCCCATCACGGAACACCGCCACAACCCACAATTCTCGCCATGATTGCTGCGAGGAGACGAATCACCGACAATCTGCCCTCGTTGCGGTGGTCGCTGTGGTCTTTGTGCGGGTGCTGCGCAAAGCATGCCCAGGTGCCTGTGAAGCCGAACCACACTGATCCCTGGCGTGCCCTGGTTTAGTGGCTCTCTACTACTCTAGCCCAGGAACCTTTTCTTTCCCCTCAAACCCACCCCAATCTTTCACCTTAACACCTAATCTTCCCGCAGCGCGTGTGTCTCCGCTCCCTCTTCCTGCACCTGCATGCTGAATAAACGACGTCCTAAACTAAGAATCTCACCTCCACCCTCCTTTCTTTCCTCCCGCCGTGGCTTCCTTTGACAACCTGAGCACTTCGCATTTCTATTCAGGCGCCGACTTTTGCCTTTTCCGCCCTTCCCCCTTCCCCTTCTCTCCTTGATCGGTCATCTTTGTTTCCCATCTCTGGCTGGACGCATAACTTCAGCGAAGCTTAACTGGTTGCCCATCGAGATTCTCGGTCAGCTATCTCTCTGATCGACGCTTCAAACACCAGCCTACCCCAGTTCAGAGCATTGTGTGCTGAGATTGTCAACTTTTCCTCAACTTGCAGCGTTCCACACTCCTTGCTGTACCACACCTACGTACGAACTCACTATCGCTGCCCTTTGGTAGCCTCTACGGAGTACCCTTTATTCATCCTCACCCTTCCACCACTCACTACTGCCCACCTGCACCCACTGCAGACTCACTGCACCCACTACTAAGAGTCCTGCGCAGCCCAGATTCTCTCTTCCGTGACTTCCCTCCTTAGCTCCTTCCTACCTAGGCCAACTTCACCTTTAACCCCCCGCCCACTGGCAATACTCTGTTCACGGCAATTCAATTTTCTCACGACCGATCTACCATTGTTCAACACCTTCCACCATCTCAACAACGATACTAATAATCTTCAACGCACTGCACCGACTCAACGTCACCATCATCGTACCTTCCATCACGTATCCTGCTTGAGAACAGGTCGGACCCAGCCACGACCCAGCCACGTCCCGACCGACCGAAACACCACCAACACTGCGCATCACCATTTGTCGCTTCCGGGCAATAACCTGGAATTCAATCAGTACAGCTCCATTCTTTCACCCATACGGTCGGTTGAATCGACGGTCAATACCTTGGTGACTTCAAATCACATACCATCTAATCCATCGGATCCACGCAGAACGTGAGAGGATACTTGACACCCTCTCCCCCAACTACACATATGCCATCCTACGGATCGCTTCATTCGCCCTCCATCCAGAAGAACGGCGTCCCTTACAATATGGACAACAAAGGAAGAAGAGCAGGTGGCATGCGGACGATGAGTATGGACAATATTCTGGGCGACCCATTTGCGCTGGCGACAGTATCAATTGCGTTGGTATGTACTCTCCAACTTCATGTCTTCATCAGACTGCGCCTCCCAAGATCGATCTGATCCTGTGAGGGAGAGATCGGACATAGATCGAATTGTTACTGACCAACCCTCTGTGAACAGCTCGCTTGGTTCATCGCGTTTGTCGGTTCAGTAATCGCCACGGCCGCCAAATTAGATCCAGCCTTCCCTAACTATTCGTGGTTCGCAATTGCCTACATGTTGTGTGCTATTATTGCGGTATTTGTGGTGATTGCTTCGGATACAACCCAAACCTATCATGTCGCCATCGTCGGTTACCTTGCCTGCGGCCTCGTCTTGACCACCTCATCAGTTAATTCCACCATCTATTCTCCCAATGGCGCAAAAGAAGCAACCGCTGCCGGTCACATCTTGCTTTCCATGGTCAATGTATGATTATCTCAATCCTTGGTAATCTCAAATGCTAACCTACCCATCAGATTGTGTGGATCTTTTACTTTGGATCAACACCCAACGCAGTTCCCAGAGCCTACTTGGATTCCTTTGCTTTACACAAGGATCACAGAGTATCTCAAGGTGGAAGAGGAATGAGTAACGCAGGATACCCAGCCGGCCGACCCGATACCTCGATATCTTCCAACATTCCCCCACAAATGTATACTTCAGCTCAATTGGGTGGTTTCGAAACTTCGTCACCAGTTGCAGGATATCCAAATGGTACATTAGGACCGGAGCGAAACTCTTCTCAGCCAAGATTTGGAAATGGTCCATCGCAAGGCAACTTGGGACAGATGAGCAGCGAGCCTACAGTAGGAGAGGTCGTCCAACCAACCGAATACCCATACCGAGCTAAGGCCATCTACTCATACGAAGCCAACCCCGACGATGCCAACGAAATCTCATTCTCAAAACACGAAATCCTAGAAGTCTCCGACGTCAGCGGACGATGGTGGCAAGCAAAGAAGGAGACCGGAGAGACCGGAATCGCCCCTTCGAATTACCTGATTTTATTATAAGCTTTTTTGCTCGATCAAAAGAGATTCTGTTTTTAAGGAGATTGGGGCTCTAAAATTTCTTTCTCTCGACATGAGGGACATTGGGAAAGGTTTCGAAATATGGGATCAAACAACCTAGGTTTTACAACGGAGTGGCTGGAGTTATTTTCTCTCTGTAATAGTCAATGTGATATGATTGGTTTTCTTTCGTCACTTTGTTTTTCATTTGTTTCTTTTTTCGACTGGTTACCACTTCCAAGTTCCTTCGGCATTTTCATCGACGACCCAGAGTCCGGTTCTTCACAGTACATATCGAGAAACAGCGGTGCTGTCCATTTTATTTTCTCTTCCAAGGAAAAAGGCAACATCTTCGATCGACGGACGAACAAGCGCAAATACGGATGCGGTATGGGATGTCATGGCTCTGGATTCTAAACATTGAATCAAGGTTATACGCGTCAACCTCGATTGTTACTTTTCGAATACGATATTCGCTTCTGATGATTTGGTTGTGGATTGAAAGGAACTGGGGTTCGACGTGGGCGGTTCGGAATGTGGTTGCAAGTAGATGGGATGGGATGCGAATGGGCGAATCTGATTAGCGAACCCTGGTCTCATCTATTTCCCTGTCAAATACGACTACAATCCTTTGGACCTCCCGCCTTGACCTCCCGCCCCCTCGAGATTTGACCTAGGTATTCGCAGGCTCCACGCAGTACCAGGACAAAGAAAGAAAGCGACCATCGAAAATCTAACGTTGACGGCCTGTACAGCAAGTTGAGAAAGGGTATGCGTGTTGAGGAATGGAATTGGTATTTGCAAAGAAAAATATACCCGTACTGTACGCCCCAGGCCTGATCTCGCAAGGAAACAACACACCTTTTTTCCAGGGCATTTCTAATTTTTTGTTTTTTTTGCTATTTTCCTTTTCAGTGAGATTGGTTTTTCTTTTCGCCAGGTTTAAGGACTTGGGTTTGTGTTTTTTCTATATTCTGCGAGATGAAATGCGTCTTAGCTAGTAGTTTTTTATTTTCTTCCTTTTTTTTTCTTTAATGTTTTCTTTTTCTTTTCGAGAGTTTCTCTAGTTTTTTCTTTGGTTCTTTTGATCCTTTGATTTGGTTTGATTTGGTATGTAAGAGAGAAGAAAGGGCGGTAGCCAGGCAAAGCAGAAAGGCAGATGATGCATGGATGGATATGGGATTGGTGAATTGTTTTTTTCAAGGGAGGATTGGTGAAGAAGAAGTATGACCTGAATCAGAATCGGGATTGGGAATCAGAATTGCAATCGAATGGAATGGAATAGATTCATTTGTGGATCGTGGGATGGATGTAAGGGAGAGAAAGACAGAGAGATATTGAGATAGTTGAGAAATGGATTCCTACTGAATTGAAGCTTTGAATGGTTTTTGATTTAAGTGATGTGGTGGTAGGGGGTGAATGGATGGATTTGTAAGGTAAGGTGAGGTAAGGTGTGATTGTTTTTTAGGTAAGTAGTGGGAGGTAATATGAGGATATTACTAGGAGCGTACAAGGACCTAGGTGTTCTTATTACAACACGAGCCCTCTTAGCTTCTCCTATCTGGTACTTTCTAGCACTATAGTAGTATATTTATTCTATAGAAAGCGCTACTACTATAGTTCTATTCTATAATTCTAGATATATATTTTAAACTTGTATTTAGATACTTTTAGGCTAATAGATAGATAGATAGTTCTTATATTAATCTTAGTATAAGAGTCTTAGAAGAGACCCTACTCGTTTAGGAAAGTGCTAGTTAAGGGGGGGAGGGGGGGTATTGTTAGGGTATTACTAGGGAGTTTTGGAAGCGAGTTGGAGATACTGGGATAGTAGGGTGAAATTGGAGGGTGTTGATGAGATGGGAAGAGGGCATTGAGGGGTAGAGAGGTAGAGAGGTAGAGAGGTAGAGAGATGGGTAAGGGGGGTTGTAGGGAGAGAAGATGATGATGATGGGGGGAGGGGGGGTAGGAGATTAGGGATATATAGAGGGAAGTGATAGGTGTAGGAGTCTTGGGTGAGAATGATGTGTTGTGATGAATACTTGTAGGAAAGAGGAAAGATAGTAATAGCGTTGTTAGAAGAGGTGTGGAGTGTTTCGGAGTAGTGATTCGATATTTAATATCCAGATAAGTGTACTACAAAATCCAAATCCAAATCGGAGGCTCTATATAAGTATATACCGATTCCAAATACAAGTCTAAAATAAGTGTCCAGCCGGTTTCATCACGTTCCGGCTTCTATACATGAGTATCCATACTAATTCTTATATGAATCCAACGTGTCTATCCCAAACAAATGAAAGAAAGTCGGTTCCATATCCCATGCATACTTCTCAGTACCTGCTTGCAAACAAGTGCGAAGCGAGTCTGTTCCTCCGGTGGTCAAAGGGGCGAAAATCAAAGCCGAAGCCTTTTCTGTCCCGATATCGGACCTGTCATGTACGTGCGAGGAGAGCTGGTTTCGCTTAAGAGAAAGGGGGGTGGATTCGTGCTTTCTTTGGTTGGTTGGTTCGAGAAAGAGAAGTGTCGAGAAGAGAAGCGAGAGGGTTGAAAATAAGAGCCTTGGTTAGGTAGTTGGTTTACTTGGAAGCTGGTGGAAGGTTTGTGAAGAGTTATATGTTTCACAAGGGGAAAGTCGGGATGGCGTACTGTACATGGAGTGTAGCTTGCTGGTTCGTCGCGCGCTGGCTGGACTGCTTTGACTGATTGTAAGATTACCGAGTTGCCTTGTTTCTTCTTTGATCTTCGATTCGTAGACCTCGCTGGATTTGAGAGGCTTTAACAGCTTGCGCGGCTTGTCGGGCTTGTTCTTGCGCCTGGTCTTGTTCTACATCATCGGACAACCCTTTTACTCTTACGATCCAATCTATCTAGTTCACGTTCGAGTTCTTAATGATCCTAAGGGTCCTAGATCGTCTGGGTCTTGTCTTGTGGTTCGCGACGAAGCAGTAACATCAGTTGCTCGTGTTGTATCTGAGCTCTCTTATATTATAACCAAAAGATCTTATTCAATATGTCGAATCGGGTTGCCATGTCTGCTGGCTTATTGAGAGATATGCGCGAGTGTAGAAATAAGTCGGGTTTTGACTGGCAGGCCTAACTAAGGGATTAGTATAAATTAAGGAAAGAAGAGTATAATTCTTAGGTTTCTAGTAATACTAACTAGCTATATATTTTTATAATAGTACTTAAGTATTAATACTATAATATAGGCTTAATTAAGAAATATAAGGTAATTAAAATAGTAAAAAGGGTAGTTCTCTAGTATTTAAAGCTAGAGCTAGGTAATAATAACCAGATTTCGTCTAAAATAAATAAGACGTACCTAGGTTCTAAGATAGTACTACTAGTTATTAGTAATAAAATAGAAAACTATTAGAATAAGCTATAAATAAGTAGAAAAAGAAGAGAAGAGGTAGCTAGAAAGTAAGTAGAACTCTAATATAAGAGCTAATTATCGGTCTAGAAGTATTCGGAATAGAACTAGGCTAAACTAGCGTCTTTTACAGAATATACTAGTACTAAATAAAGTACTTATATTATGATACTAAAGATATAGTTCTTTATTTACTTATTTACTTACTTATTTATTTAGTTATATAAAGAAAGTAAAGAAAGGAAAAGAGAGAAGAAATAGAGAGAGAGAGGGAGGTATAGGGTATAATAGAAGTAAAGACTTATAGAATATTAAAATGGGAAATTACTTATAAAAAGGAATAGAAAGAAAGAGAAAGAAATGAATAAAGGGAAAGGAAGGAATAAATAGAAATAATTAAGTACTGATATATAGTTCGTAGATCTAGAGGTAAAGGGGGGGGAAAGGCTCTAGAATATAAACTAATAGTTCGCGAAACGCTTAGCTTATAGCTTATATAGCTTAAACTCTTATAGAAATCTTCTAAAAGATAGTTATTTAGGTAATGGGAGCCGATAAAGCTCTTTGTAAGAACGTTAGAGTATAATACTTATATTTCTATAACTTAGTCTCTACTTTTTTATACTCGATTCGACTACTATTTATATTTTATAATTATTATTCATTAATAGTAGAAAATACCTAAGGTACTCTTAAGTTCCTAGAGGCAATACTTAAGTAGCGATTAGTACATAGAACGTGTTCTATAGAATTCTATAGATTCTATTCTATCTAGAATACTTCTAGAGCACCTGCGAAATAGAATAGAAGACCTCTATTAATTAGTCGCTAGAATTCTATAGAAAACTAGAATTTAAAGTAAATACTAGTACTAAGCGTACTGTATAATAATCTTAACGAATATAGGTTATTATAGACAAGCGATTAACTAAATCGAACGATATATACAAGTTTACGTAGTTACCCTCTATATATAAAACAACTAATAATAGAAGGATTTACGAAATTCGTACTCTACTATAAGTACCTAGGTAGTTAAGGTAACCTTTACGTGATATACCTTGTTATCTAACTATTTATCTCCCTCGCTTAACCTAAATAGAGATTTCTTATTTTAGCTAGAAATTCTAGAAATTCTATAGAATAAGGGGGTCTAGAATAGAATCCTTCTAGAGGGGGGTTCTAGAATGGAATGGAATTCTAGTTGCCGAACGCTGTGTAACCTAAGAAATCATAGCTAGATAACAGAATATCTCCATAAGGAAGATAATATAATATAGCACCAAAGAGAAAACTGTGTAACATAAAGTTTGCCGAAGACAATATAATGAAGGACTATGGGAAACTTATACAATATGATTTCCCTTTCGCTAGACAGCATAGAAGCGTACCAAAGAAATTACACAAGAGTAATTATTGACTCAACCCAACCTTGATTAAAATCATAGTTGTCGTAATCAAACCCCCCAGAAACACTTTCCCGCACATCATCAGACTCAACACCGACCTCTGAGTCATCATTGGCACCGTCTTCAATACTTGTATTGCCCATCTGAGCTGGAAGGTCCGAGGAGTATTCATGTACCCTGACCTCAGCGTCTTTGGATCTTTGAGCCATCTCTCGTTTGACATCGTCGTATGAAGCTTTACCGTCGGTGGGAAATTTGGAGATTGAATGGTATGTGGGCCGCTTGAAGAACTCCGAGTTCTGGTGGACTATATCAATTTGAAAGTATCCTATTCTCTCGTATTCTTCTGGTTTCCCAGTGGGTCCAAGAATTAATCCAAAAACATAAACTTCGGGGTCGTTATCCTCTTGACCTGTTACAATTGGGAAGCAAAACACTTCCAACTGATCTTCTGGTAGACCAAAGCCCTCATCTAGGTAGAAATCGGCATCATCAAGAAATTTGCCATTAATCTCAAACCTTGAATCGTAAGGATTGGTTCCTTGAATGGAGAATGATTTCAGCCACCCACGAAGACAAATATGATCTCCAGATACCTGTCCCATTAGGTTGGAAGTTTTTGGTTCTGTGGCGGCTTCCAAAACCTGAATCATATAAGAAGGGCTCTGTGGAAGGGTTCGGGGGAAAAAGATATGTGCCCGACGAAATGAAGCTATCTAGTATATTAGTACAAAACTCAAAGACAATTCAAAGGACAGAGCTACTTCTATTGAAAGGAGAATGAGGCAATATTGCTAGAAGATAACTGAAAGATTTTCATACCCCATGACTAACTTGGAGCGCAATAAGATTCTGTCTTGAGAGGTATGAGGCCGCCAATTGGAGGACGATGAAGCCTCCATAATAGCTGGTGCGGGAGAAATCTTTCCCACAATCCAGCAAGATATTCTGAATTTTTTTCATAGTTATGTACCTCTGACTCGATATCTTTAGCGAGACCAGAAATTGCAACTAACTTGTCCTGTTCTTTAGTCATTGAGCGGTTAGAATAATCTGGGACAATGTCATTCCATTTCATCAAGCCTGCTCTCTTTTTAGACTTTTTTCCGTCGTGGTAGCTGTCAAAGCTCTCGAGGGTTCGTTTCGGGGATATCTCAGTGAAATATTTATGGTTTGGTACACTAGCGTCTTCCGGGAAGCCACCTGGATGGCACTCAGATGCATACTAGAATCAATTGGCACGCGGTAAAATAAGTGCCATAGAGTTATTAGCAAGGTCTAAGCTCAAAGCCTCAATACTGAAAATAAAAAGAAACACAAACATAGGCACTTACTAGCTCACGACATGCCCAGTACAACTGAATTCTAGTACATTGAATTATCCGATTTGATAAATACTGTTCTTGCGCCACCCAAGCTCTTCTGGCCAAAGGTGCTTGGTAAATTTCATGACTGCCACTTGCTCCGCGATATATGATATCATGAATGCGAAGAGAGGAGTATTCTTTATCCTCATCGACTAGCTCGACTCTACAGGCTTGCCCCAGTACAGGATTCCGGTCAAAAAAGCATCCTATTCGGGTATTTGGTGCTCCAGTTGCAGCGATATTACAAACCGCATTTCTGTAAACAAATTCCATCTGTGCTGACTCTTGCTCCCAATCTTCTTTTGAGTTCTGAATAATACACAGCGAGTCAATCCAAATGTGTTGGATTTCCAAATGACGAGCGAATTCTATGGCCTCCCGGAATGTCCTTGGCAATTCATCGAAGTCTATTCCTTCTATCATGGAAGAAAGTGTTTCATTGTGGAGTCGCTTGAAGGGCGCTGATTTCCAGCAGTGGCTGAGTGTTGCATACGATGGTGCCGGTGAAAATCTACCGTGTATATATAGGTGAAGTCTTGGAGCATTTTTCGATCCAATATCAAGCAACCTTGTTGGAGAATAATTCTGATTGATTGTCTGCCTACAAATTTCATGTTCCTCCAAGCATGTGCGGAACCATCTGGAGGCCATGTTTCTAGATTTCATACTTCCGGTATGGGCTGTGAGACTTGGGAACTCACTGAAAGCTAAACAAGTTAGCCTCGAAAGAACATGAAACACAATGACTCGTAATCAATCTCGATAAGTTTGGGTTCCAAAAAAACTATTTGGGGATTTCAAAATGGGTGCTTACTTTTAGTAAGTTTCGTTTCAATGCCGGCAAAGATTTGTTTATTCAGGTAGAAATAAATGCGGTCATGAACTTTTGAACCATAATAGTATAGTCTTGACCATGCGCTTTGGTCAAGATGCGCATAGCTATCCCACAATCTAACACATAAGGCACAGCCGTCTCGCGCAGATTCCTCCAGAGCCTCAGGGCTGGGATGATGGTCGTATGACATGCCACTAGATCTGACTTCTTTCGAAACGACATGCGAGCAAAGTTTGCAAAGAGCATCATTGCTGAGCATAGTGGAAGACATGATGTTGTCAAAGCAAGCTCCATAAGTCGCGAAGTGAGGTTGAGGAGGTCAATCACCCATCCCATCCACACCTCGCTTAAAGTAATTGCTGACGGGTTGCGAAGTGATCCCGGGAAAAGCAGCATCAAATTTATCTTCTATATTTTAGCTCTAAAACACTAGAGGATTCTAGGAACTAGCCTCTAGCATGAATAATGTAGGTTATTTGGATAGCGCAAATCCACTTGTGTCATAACTTGAGCATAACACAAAGATTAATTGATGTTTCGCAATTGTAAAATCTCGAGCATTCATGGAATGCCGCTTTTACGGTTGAAAGCGCTAGGCTTATTTGGAAAAGAGCTGGTATCATAAACCGCTCCAATGAAAGCGCGTAGGATGTATCTTGGTGTGCCCATGTGCGACTCGCTATCCTGGTCATGTGTGATAGACGCCCGCAACGACCCCGAACCGCAGCCAAAACGCGCATGAACTGGACACCTAGAAATCTTAGCCATAGTGGCTATTTCACTTGTGTCTTGATATCCGTGGCCAGAATAAGGTGGAGTAGAAACGTCGCAACTGTGCCGTAATTGGTTTGATGAGGTTGATGGCAGACCCTGATAAGCAGGTTTTCATCAGATCAAATACAGCCATTGCAGACAGTACTTGTTCCTCGGGTCATGGGTCGCGGATTGCATTTCGCCGACTTTTATCGAAATCTCTATCATCGATATCGTTGATATCACGTAGGCATAGCTACGGAGAAGATTCTAGGGAAGTGCATTAGGAGTGTTAGCAAGATTTATTTCTGAGTGATCGCTGGTTCTGTAATGCAGGCAAAGCGTTATCCGTAGACATAGCAAGAAATAAATAATGACGAGCTCGAATATTTTGTGAAAGCGTACCATTCGGGCGTAGGGAGAAGTAACACCTGCAAAACTGGTAGGCGTCAACTGCTTCAGTTTAAATGAGACTGGAATGAATGGCTGGGTCATGGTGGCTTGTCCGTGACTCTGTGATAATAAAGCAATCATACGAAGTTGTATTGCTTGTAACGATTCGTCAAGTAAGAGAACTACATACATTCATATGGAACATGTCCCTATCTTCGACCTGTTGATAAACATCCAGCACCCTGTATGGTTGTTGGCTGTGTACTCGAAGTGTGCTATGGTAACCCTCAAATCCACCCTTTGGTCAATTGGACTATTGTAACCGTAATACCATAGAATTTATGGTTACTATTATGGCAGTCACAAGTATGATAATCCATTCCATAATGCGCCTTTTAATTTGTCTTAGGAGGGTGTGGAACAAGTGGGGTGGTGGGTGTGGAATGAGGAATGGAATGTGGGCTGTTAACACCACAACAACAACTAATCTATATAAAGGACTCTGCTCTCATTTTCCCATTACCCTGAATATCTATTCTTGTGCAATATAGGCTCCGCACCCCTCTCCTAATACGATCAAAGAGACAAAAGGGGTTGTTGACGGACGTAAACTAAAGGCGAAATAATCGTACTTAGGAATAGCTTTACTTTTTTATTTTTATTTTTATTTTTTTTAAAAAAAAAGTATAGAGAAACATGCGTTGGAGGGTGTGTTTAAATTAAAAAATTGACTCTTATTATTAATTAATGTAAGGAATATTTCGGAAGTCAAAGATTCGTCAATTAGTAGGAGAATTCTATTATGTGGTCTAATTGACGAATTACCCATGGTATTGATCAAATAGTCGATTTGAGGGTTACCATAGCACAGAAGCCTCGTACGCAGACTCTAGTTTCCTTTGACCTTAAGCTCATTCAAATCATGCATGCGAGCACTTCTTTCTCTCTACCAGACTTGGATGCTAGCTATTCGCGAAAGTAAAGTTAATTAGAGTTCATATAGGAGTTGAAAGCTACTCCGAAGTGAAGGATACGAAAATAACGAATGTTCTTCGTCCAACTTCTGTTGACGCAACGAAGACATATAGTGGCTAAATCAAGAACCGACTTTGGGGATTTTGCAAATCTACCAGAGGGAATATCTACGTGCTGATAAACCAAGTACAATTGATGCTGGAAACTATTTCGGAGGTGCTGAAAGGCACAGTCCCGCCCACAATGTGAGATCTGACCTGACATGCTCAAAATCGACGCGAGTTCTTCAATTGTAAGCCCTTTTGTGCCCGCTTTAAGGTTGAGTACACAAGTACATCTTACAACCATCCGTGATTATCCCATTCTCATCTAATACTATATGCACTTGGAGCAGAGGAACAGTCTAGTGCACCGCTTGCACCGTTCGAGAACTGTGAGACACTATGAAACATCACTCATTGATTCAACAGTACGAAATATCGCGTAAAATCCATTATGATACCCGTTGTTTTAGGGACATTAGGTGATTTTAATAGTGGTTCTAGCGCATGCGCAATCAATGTACACGGGGCAATACTAGCAGCAATACATACATACACCTTTTACATTTGTTTTCCCAACACTTTAGATAGATAGGATTTAATATGAAACATTCAAAACGGCAATTCGTATTTATTGAAACTCATACTCTACCGAAAGATGTGGTCTAATGCTAATTGTCACAATTGACCACCAAAACCTGGCGGTCGCCGCTGCTCAAATAAGCGAACGAGGCCTATCGCTTCAAAATAGCTTCAAATATATATCCAGTTCCAGAACGCACGACCTTGGGTTGGTGAGCCTCTACAAGTTCAAATCCAGATTCCTCGAGTAGTGTCCTGAATTGTTTGACTGTTCGATCAATTCCAGAAAAAAAACTCATCATAAGGAAATCGAGCTTGGCAGGATAAAGTGGAACGTTCGTGTCCGGTAGAGCATTTTCGTTGATGAGTAGAACAGACTCTTCATTCATGGCACTCCGAACATGCGCTAGAATTATCTTTCCTTCTTTGTCGGGCCAATCGTGGAGAATCGTACTCAAGAAATATGCCTTTGCGCCCAAGGCTATCTTGGGCTGCGGGAGAAAGAAGTCGTGTTTGACTTGCACAATGCTGGCATCAAGGTCTGTGATAGAGTCGAGGACCTCGGGAAGCTCTTCCAGAACCAGAGATCCCCGCAGAGATGGAAATCTGGCATGAAATGCTGCGAGATCGTTTCCAAGGCTTCCCCCAATATCAACCATGAGAGGTGTGTCCGTACTGGAGCTTTGTGCAAATCTTTCTTCGACAGGATAGAAGTCAAACCACGGGTCTCCCTGGTCCATACGCTGGATTGCCATCGTAGTTGCAAACGCTTTTGCTTAAGCAGGCTCGGTTTTGAGCCAATCAAATAGTGGAGGTCAGTCCCTTTGGCGAATTGAAAAGGGCCATTCTTTGCGTTCATTGGGTTTTTGTACTTGGTATTTTTCAAGTATTCCGGAAGTTTCACGAGAACTTCAGCTCCGGTAGTCCTTGATTATTGGTTAATTCCATGCTGCCAACTCTTACTGCGACAGGAGCACTTACAGATGAAGAACTACATCTGGAAAAGGGGATCCATCGGCAAAAACAGGTGCCAAAGGGCCGTTCGCGAACTTGTTCTCACTAACTTCCTTAAAGAGTCCCATAGCACTAAGAAGGCGCATCACACGACTGACAAGCAGAGTATTTGCATCGATCTTCTCAGCAAGCTCGGTTACCTCCATTTCGCCAGCTGGAAGAACAGTTGCCAAGCAGTCGAAAATTCCCATGTCTATTCCAAGACGAAGACCAACTTGTTCATACGCCTGCCATAGAGTTCGTTAATTTGTTTTTTTGGTTATATACTGTGCTCCCTTTGGACAGTAATATTGCACAGCATCGTGAAAACTTACACCAAAGGCAATACGAGCTGTTGCCTCAACCGGACTCTCAATAGCACCCCTGAGACTATCCAAAGCCTCCAAAAGTGCTATACGATCTGCCGGATCGAGAGAATCTTGTGCTGGTGGATTAGCAGCGACCTCGTTGATCTTCTGAATTAATTGCGAGACACTCATGATTGTCGCGAAGCTGGGGAGGCTCCTGGAACAGGTTTTGGTATTTGACTTGCGGGATAAAGAGAAGTTGAAATAATATTTGCATAGACGGAGACTGGTGCTTTTGACATATGGAATTCAGGGAAACCCCCATAAGTCTCAGAGAAGGCTGGATGAATTTGTTCGTCAATATTGATGACTGCAGATGTTGGTTGGTGGATGCATATTTGTTGTAAGTCAGATTGCATTTTCACCATTCACAACCCAGGACAGAGGTTGCTCTCCCTGTACCGATCTATCATTACCGACAGCCTTCTATCCCTTTTCGAACCTCGTACCATTGACCAATTGAACATTAAAACGACCCAATATATGCCTGCTATGCCTCCAACCGAGATACAACACCACTGAGAGACTAGCAGGATTCTAAGCTATCTACTCGTGAGTTCTTGTAAGGTATCATGTGTACCAAATGACCAGCTCGTAAGTTCTTTTGTCTTCTTTTTACCATATCTCCGAGGATTCTGAAAGCCGGAACAGATTTGTGTTTCGTAAGTTAGTAGAGAAGATACATGCGGGGACCAGGTAGGTAAGAGGTATAGGAGAAACTAGGGAGGTTGAACGGAGTGGCAGGGGATAGAAGAATGGATTAAATAAATGCTTTTCGGAACCGATAATTGGGTTACAAGTCTATTATTGAAGAAGTAGAGAATGAGAATGAGAAGGGGGGAAATTGATATGGTATTCTCGTCACGTTGTTTAAGATTTCACTAACGGTACTTCACTTTACCACCAAAGGTTCAAAGTTGCAATTTATCAAGAAGAACCTTGGAATATGGCAATGTATTCACCTCTTGGCCAAGATCAAAGCCTTTTCACGACTCGAAGGTGGTTTGGGTTGCAAACTACTTTAATGTATAAAGAAAGTAAAAACATAGCACTTCGAATATCAGGAGTTCTATACAGAATCTTGATACAAGCTGAACCTGAAATATGAATCTGCAGCAACAGGAAAAGGAGGCAGTAAGCTTTATTTCAAAAAAGAGAAAAAAAAAGAAAATACCGAGAGTTTAGAAAGCTTCTTGAAGAATCATATACTACGTAATGACGCCAGACAAAAAGTCTCAAAGCCAAAATAGTATTGTAGATCTTTCACTCGCGGATGTGTAGTCCCGCGTCAATCCACACCACACCAGAGAAAGGGGATAGACTTCCTATGAGAAAAACAGCAATGTGAGAGAGAATGAAAACCAGAATCTAACAGTTCTCCACTGGAACACCTTTATTATAATTTCGATACCTCGATCAAGAGTTGCAGTCTAACATCATTTACGTATCACCAAATAACCTTCTGACCAAGCACTCTGGGTCTTATAGTCCCTGAAATCAAACTATCATGCTTCAATTAAGAGCGGGACATCTGAGAAATGAAACCTTTCACCTCCACTCGCTCCGCTCCAGCTGGGAAGCTTCACCCACACAGCAATGACAGCACTTTCAAGCATGATTCAAAATAGTATCATCAGACCTCTTGCCCGCTGTTGGGACCGAATCAGAACTAGTCTAGATTAGTCATCTCTCAAGTATATCCGTACTCCAAGTGGACGTAACTTAACTCCTTAATACATACACCTTTCCTACCAACGCACTGACAGCTATTTTGATCTATAAAGCAAGATAAGATTACCCTCACAACCTTCCCAACGAAAAACCCATCAAAATAAACGACAAACAACAAAAGGACAACAAATCCACCATCTCAAACCCAGTTTCAAACCCACATCTTCAAATCTGACCTCGACAAACAATATAGTGGACATGCTGAAAAAACACAGACTTCGGCGTAGTTACCTTCTTATACAAAAGCCCCCTAGCCTTGGGGTCGAAGGAATTTCTTTGGTATCGTGTGGAGAAGATCTAGTATGAATCTCTACTCTTGCCCTCCATACCTCTCTCCGCGTATTTATACTAAGCAGACCAAGGTATTTCTTTCTCGAATATCGACTTAAAATCAAAGTAAATGCAAAAGCACACTATAGATCTATTCACTCACCCATCTATTCACACTACTCCATGTATTCACCACAACCAGATTATCAGAGAGATACACATACACGTACATACGGAGTACACATACCAAATACTCAAATCATCCCCTTCCCCCTCCTCTCCTCTCTCCTCTCCCCTCCTTCCCCTCCCTCCCCATCGCTAACCCCCCTCCCACCTCCTCAAAGAAGAAAACAACAACAAGAGCAACAAAAGTAGCGCCAAACCAGGAAACTGCACTATACCCCCTCTAACCCTAATCACTTCACTAACCCCCTAAAAAAAGAGTCAAGCAATAAGAAAAAAAAAGAGAAAAAGAGAGGGAGAGAAAGCAAGTGAAGGAAAAAAAAGCAGAGGGGTTGTTTTGATGAATTATATGCATTTATACTCTCATTGACAAAGTGCGTGAGCAAAAGTATAGGTACTAAGGGTAGACACAGTAGGATGAAATCAACTTCCACTCACCCAACAGCCCTCCCTCCCCCCTCCTCCTCACTCAACTACAGCATCAAGAAGAGAGAAGAGAAAAGACTTCATGCATTCAGTCCTAATCCCGAAGGTCTCAAAAGAAGAAAAAAAAAGGTTTCTTCATCCCCCCCAAACTCTAATCCTCTATACATCAGAAATCAAGTCCCAATTACAAAAGCCCGAGCCCAAGTAGAGTACGGTGAAGGTATCCCCTTTCCATTTCATCCCATCCCATCCCGTCCCGTTCATCCCGGTCAAACACACATTCCAAAAAAGCACAGAAACAAACCCGAATCACATCAAACTCCCTTATCACAGCCAATCCGCCCCAGCAACTCTTTTCGATCACTGTGACCCGGTAAACTGACACCTGAAGCGCTACTAGTTGCCTTTTTGTATCGTGAAGCGGCGGAAGTTCTTCCACGTAGGTTGATCGATTCGACGCCAACTTCCTCTTCATAAGGTTGCTGTTCCACATCGCCTTTGGACTCAAGTGCCGAAGGGGTCTTCTCATCTATCGTGGCGGTTTCTTCCTCTTCCTCATCGTCGCTTCGGACTTCATGAGCTGGGCCACCTTTCAGGACGTGTAATGCGACACGGACAATCATCACAAACCACATAATGGTAATGCATTGGAGGAAAAGAAGTGCTGATAAGAAAGCCCACTTGATATTGTGGTTAAAACACACAATACCTTCTGGGTCTCGAAAGGGTGAAATAAGGTGTCCAAATCGATCCGGTGGTGGAAATGGCCCTACTACAGAGCCCTTCCGCCCCTTGTAACAGCCGTATTCGATGGTAGTTGGGATGTCTGCCCAAACGGAATAGCAGGTGATAAGATAACAAACGTGACGAGTACAGAACCAAGCTACCATGAAAAGGCCGAAAAGAACGTCGCAGATGGTGGTATAACCGAGGTATTTCAAGCATTTGGCCAACTAAGAAATATGATTAGACTTATTCGAAACAAAGAATAAGCAGAACTTACGGAAAGAAGGATGTCAACACCATCCATGAGACAGAGGATCAGATTGGCCACTTTGGTCTGGTGATAGCCGTAACTGGTGAAGATCAAAGCTGTGGTAACAATATGATGGGTAAACATTTGCCAATGGTCCTTTCGCCTTTCTTCAATGTTTATAACCATGATCTGCTGGAGCCAGAAGGCATATTGCACCAGAATGTACCATTTCTCGAGTCCTCCCATCTCCCGATTTGGCCAATTCGTCCACAGATTCTTCATATTGAGCCAATAAGCGGATCGGATGAGAATGTACTATGTCCTGTCAGCATTTCTGTAAGCCATGCACGGGAAATATCCACCTACCATTCCGAGTGGCCAAAAAACACAGTAGTATATAATCAGCCAAGCCTGCTCAGCGAATCTTATCTGTCCTCTTTCCGTTTTGACACCTCCACGTCTTGCGAATGGTTCCAAGATATAGCCCATCACAGCGGCGCGAAGTCCTGTAAACACCACAATCCAGAAAAATACCATCCAAGCATCATTCCATCCCGCACAGTATTCGCCGGAATCTTGATTGAAGTAGGACAGTTCAAAGAACTTGCGGGTATGCCTTCTGGCACGGGGAAAACACATATGGGTAAGTGAGAGGAGCATCAACAGATTGACCGCGAGACCTGGGAGTTTTGTTAGACTCTATCTCCAATTTTTGGGGCGGCCTCCTTTGGCCCGAGGGAAAATCACCAATCTGGTGCTCGACAACCCAACCACAGACAATCTCCAGAGCGCCATCATCTTTTCGTTTCTCCTTTTTCAATAGAAACCTTGGGGAGGACGAAAGCCCCCCCGTGCGGCCATGATCCAGGCTTTCGTCTATACTAAGTGTGAGAGGCTTGCTGCCATTGGAGTGTGACCATTCGTGCGCCGCCGCGAGTTTAGCATCGGGTACTCCAATTGTCGGCGCCGAGTCGTCGCTCATCGTATCGTGGGTATCGCGGGAAGGAAAAAAAGGGAACGGCCAATTGACGCGTAGGGGCGCTCGTGCAGGTCTCAATGGGGTCGCAAAAACAATCTAGGCGGGAGTCGTCATGAATTCTAGGAGATGCGAGGGCTCGTGAAAGGGGCCATAAGAACGAATGTGTGGAGTTGAAGGGAAGTTTGTTGAGGAGAGTTATCGACTCCTCTTGTGCTAGAAAGTAAAGGCGGTGGATGGTCGGCAAGGAGCTCGATTCGTCGGATTTTTTTTGGGGGACCTCGAGCTCTGTTCACGTTGCTGTGGTGGAGGGGGGAGACACACGAGTGGGAGTGGGAGTGGGAGATTGTCGGACCAGGGCCGTGACATGCTCATGCACACTGCCACCCTCTACCAGTGATATTGCGACTTTCTATGGCGTGGTGTTGTACGGGAGAGGGGAAGGCATGAAGAGTTACGGATCTCTCGATCGTCGTTTCTACCAAGTTGACATACTCATAGTAGGTAGATTCATAGCCACCAGACTGAGGCATATCCATTTGCCATTCTGGACGTTGCAAGCACCAAACCTCCACACCAAACCTCCACACCATATCACAATGTTTACCCGAGAATCAACATCCACCCCCTTTCCGTCAAAATCTTGCCTCTTGTGCAATTTTATATGCCATATCCCCCACCTCATTCAGGGGGGAGCTGGTCCTGGCCCAAAGCTTACCTCCTGGAAGCCGTCTCTATCAACACGCCAAGTCGAAAAGATCATCTGCATGTCAAAGAAACCCGAATTGGCAATCAAACGTCCTTTTGAGCCTCGACAGGTCACAGCTGTCACTCGATAGAAGACTCCACCCGCTCCACGCAGTCCGCGGGACATTTTTGGGGACCCGTTCTGGCGGAGAAACCCCTGATTTAGCTCCATGTTGTAGCAGCACTTTTCCATGACTAGCCATGCTGATTGGTCCAGAAAGTATGGGGTGGACATGTGAGATTGGCCAATCAAGATGCCGCTATTTCAATGGACCTCGGAGACAAGTCCTACCGCTAACTTTGCTGTTAGTCATTTAGACTACTGATCGGATGGGAGAGGGGTAACGAAGTAGTTTAGATAGAAGCATGGATGCATGTATAAAAGTTAAATCTAACATCTGGGTTGGATATTACAAGAGACTGCTACAGTACAGGATAAGGAAACAAAAAAAGTGTAGTCGCTTCTCAATTACTCAGTCCTAGGACAGAAGTGGAGTTATGAAAGTATGAATCCATACGTGCCAGAAAGCAATAAACAACAGAAGAACGCCAGAGTGCCAATTTCCAATACCTTCCTCCCTAACCATTCCTATTTATTACTCGTACTCCCCATAACGCCTGTTAAGATCCTGGCTATAACCAGAATTGGTCAGACCGCTATCCTGTTATCCCATGTTTCTTTCCCCTCGAGCCCCTAGACGGTGTAAAAAGGTCGGTGGGTCGTTGCCCGCGTATTTAGTTGTTCTGCTGGTTGAGAATTCGGAGAATGGCAAGGAACAAGTTGATAATGTCAAGGTAAAGACTGATAGCAGCCGCAATCTCCTCCTCAACGTGATAATGTCTCATAATAAGCTGCGTATCAACCAAAATGTATGCCGAAAATATTAGAGCTGCGATTCCAGAGTACGCCAACTCAATCATGCTGTTGTGAGGGAAAAAGGCAGCCATAAAGCCGAAGAGTATCAATGCCCATAAACTACCAAACAAATATGGCATCCATGACGTGAAGTCGTATTTGGTCTGGCATGCGAAAAGCGTGAGGGCGACAAAAAGTCCAGCTGTCAGAAGTACTGCTTCTAGGACAATTTTCGAATCGTAGAACGAAACAATGACGGACACGGAATATGCCTCAAGAGCGGTAAACCCCGAGAGGAAGAGCAGATTCGTAGGATATGATTTTCGTTTCCAGTAGGTCAACAACATAAAGCCAATGGCACCGAAGAGCTGAGCATTTGTTAGCACAAATGACAAATAATGATACACAGGTTACACACCGAAACGAACATCATCCAAGAATGGCCCTGGATCCAATCCTTGTATGACGAACTCCAGAAGGAAAGACTGCTCAAGGCCGCAGTCGCAACAAGTTGGGCAGTACTGTAAGTATTAGCAAAGTATGCAGCCGGATCGGACAGCTTGCCCTTACAGAATAGAGTACACCTTTCTTACAAAGGCCATACGGATATCGATGGTAGCCTCAGAGACAACGCCACCGTACTATTATGCCGTCAGTTATGCGCCGGCCGATAATTCAATAACCACGTACTTTGAAGTCATCCGGAACATTATCCTCGCTGCTTCTTGGTCCCCCAAGAAGAGCTGCCTGATCAGTAGAAGAAGTCGGTTCGTCGATGTATGCTGGTGGGGCTTGCGAATAGCTTCCAGTATGGTCCATCGAGTCTCGCTGAGGAGCTGGGGAGTACTTTGTATTTGCCGACATTTTGAAGGTTGAAGGCGATACCGTAGAAGTGAGCGTATAGGATGGAATTTGTACGGGGTACCGTGGGTTGTTGAAGAAGAGAAGTTGGTGTTGGTTGTAGGATTGGTGATGTAAGACATTGATTAAGGTCGGCTTCGGAGGAGGCACGCTGATCATGTGGCGCCTGACCTCCATTGCGGCGAAGCGAGTGGGGTAGGTGATGTTTGTTTGCTACGGTACAACAACCACCATAGAAATCATTGGACAGCGATGGAACATTCACACATGTTGAATTGTCAAGGAATGTGCCAATCAAAATTGTACACAGTTCCACAAAATTAAAGAATTCGGTCTTGATTCACATTTCATCTCTTGCATCACGAAATACAATTATATCAGGCATTAATCAAAGCTTCATTTTTTCTCGAAGGCTCAAAAAGTACACAGAGACTATGGAAGTGGTCAAGTGCCCAGGGTATACCATTAGTGTTTCTATCACCAAGGATACGAAGAAACGGAAAATAAAGCAGCTGCACATTAGAAGGTGATAAGGAAACACATTAACCTTTTCGAAGCCTGGTTCTTGAAATGCCGTCAACGACCCAGCAAAAACGAAAACTCCAGCTCGGAAAACTCTTCGAAATGACGGAGTGCAGTCCCAGTCCAAGTCCTGGGTCCGCTTTAGAGTTTGACGGCAAATACCATAGCAAACACCGATATCTTGACCCCCCCCCTTACTCGTGGTCCGCTCCATTCTGAGCCGCCTCCATCTGTGCACTGTGCTCACGGTTCATTCGTGCCTCAATCTCCTTCAATTGACTCTCACGTGCCAGCAACTCTTGTCTCTTCTCGTTGATCTCCCGTTGGACCTTGAGTTCGATTTCTCGAAGCTTCTCCTCTTCACGTCTCAACTGCTCCTCCTTTAGGCGAACAGATTGGGATGCCAAATCCTCAGGGTTCATCGAAGAATCACTGCAAAGATGTCAGTATTCATTTCATCAAAGTATAGTGGGTAAACTTACGCTCCAGCACCACCCTCAACACTTTTACTAAGTTTCTCCGTTCGGTAATTTTCATACAGGAAATCATGTGTGATTTCCTTCAAATCTGCCAAATGACTGTGGAGGAGGGCACTTCTAATGGCGAGGAAATCGGAATGTCTTGGGTTGTCCACCTCTACCACTCCCCATGGGTATTGTCTTGCTCTAACTTTGCGGCCACCAATCTCAACAACCTCTTCGGAGCCAACAATGGCGAACGGCATAAGCCCACGAAGTTCAGCATTTTCCTCAACAGTGTCTTCATCATCCTCTTCGATATCGTATGGGAAGTTGTAAACTGGAATACGGTAATGTTCGATATCCTCCATCACCAGTTTCTTCGACTCAGCCAGCTCTGCAGGTGTAAGGGAATCGGCTTTACCAATAACTGGAATAACATTGACACGGGGAGATAGGCGTTTCATGAGTTCAATATCCAATTCCCGAAGACTGAAGAAAAAATGTTAATACTGGGAAGGACCCTGGTGAATTCACTTACCCATGGCCGGTTGGTGTGATGAAGTAAAGTAAAGCATGAACACGGTTATCGCGGAAACGTGGATTACGCTTGATACGAGACTCCTCTGCGAGAATATCGTCGTATTGTCGCTCAAGGTAACCGACAATTTCACCGAAACTTCATCATTGTCAGCTACATCCAGGCCCAATGTTACACATATCATGCGTACCTTGCCTCGTTGTCAATCAAATCTCCAAAACCAGGTGTGTCGACGATTGTGAGAGAAATGCGGGTTCCCTCCTCATCCAGTTCCAACTCTGGGTTGTAGTCAGTAACGTTTGAATCCGCACATGTCCATGGACTCGACTCGTACCAACTGTGATGGGCTTAATCTTCACCCCCTCCTCGACGTGTGCATTTGTCGCGTCATCGGCATCTAAGCCTGATAGAACCTTCTTTCCGCAGAGTGTGTTCACGAATGTAGTTCGCCCTAGAAAATTCGAGTCAATCGCTGTATCCGCAGGTCAAGTCGCACAACTTCCCAACGTACCTGTACCGGAGGCACCACAGACCATCAAGCAGAACTGGATACCCTTCTTGACATTCTTCTTTCTGCGAATCTTAATCTGGACAGGATACAGCATCAGTAACAGGTCCTGTGTATGGTGCAAAAGAACAAACCCCAGAATGGTACTGAGACGTGACACGAGGATCAGATTGACCAAAAGGGGGTGTGGGGAGCTCATGGAGCTTTTGTTGAGGTGACTTACTGCGCTCAATGGAGAAGACATGATAACGGTCGGTCGGAGGGGTTAAGGGACCTTCCTGACAGTTCGTAGGATGAGGATAAAAGTGAGAATGAGTTGCAGACTTCGTGCAGATCAGGTTGAAGGCGAAGGCGCGAAATTTGAAAGTTGCGGTCGACGGTCGTTACCTCCTCAGGGGAATTTCCAATTAGACGAAGATCCTCGTCGGAAAGGAGATACAGAGCTATGCCTAATCGGGCCGGGTTTAGTGGAACCTGGTTGGCAAGACACCACAAGGCAGGGCGAGGCTGAAAGGAAACGACCTGCAACAACCTCGAACTTCAGATCGATTGAGGGGACTGGAAAGACATAGAATCAAGCACAATCCAAAAGAAAACTTCCTCACGGTCGAATTGAATTTCTTTCACTGTACCTAGCTGTATTCCTCTTCGATTTAGGGCGCCGTAGCCAGCTGACAAGGCTGGCCCTCACGGCCAACGTGGACGTCAACCATTCACCGTTGACTTACTGCCAAGCAACATTACCTGGTACCTTCAGGGGTCCTTTTAAGCTCACAGCTCACGGCCACGGCTCACATGCCATGCTTCACCTAATCTGTACTGCGATAACGACGGAGTCAAGTCCTAAGCAAAACATTCAGTCCTCCACGTTTGGATGTGTAAGATGAAAAGGTCACCACCAGAAATCCACGGCTAGAGCAAAGGCCCATCAATAGTCTAAGATAATTCATCTTGGACCCTGCCATTTTTCATCTCATCATCCTCTGACCCAAAGCCTACCTAGTAGCAAGTTACAACCATGAATACCGTGCCCGCTATTCAACCATCGTCCGCCCCTGTAGCCTTGTCAATCTCCTTCAACCAGGACGCCACTTCTTTTGCCGTGGGATTAGAGACAGGCTTTTCTGGTGGGTGGTGATTCTTAGGGTCCATACAAATGTAAATAATGACTCCGGGATAGTCTACAAAACAGAAAAATGCCAGCTTCAAAAACACGGAGGTACTTTCCACTCTCTCTCTCTCTCTCAAAACTCTCTCAAAACTGCCATTACCACGTGCTAAGTACACTAGATTTCAGTGCTGGAATTGGAGCAGTTGAGATGCTAGGAAACACAAACTATCTTGCTCTCGTTGGAGGCGGAAGACAACCAAAATTTTCACAAAGTGAGGTTGGTGATCAATCAATTTCACTATGTGTTTCCTGCGCTGATGACATGCCAAGATCAATATCTGGGACGACGAAAAACAAAAAGTTGCGATTACCATCCCTACTTTCACTCCCGTTTTAGGCGTCAGGCTGTCGAGAATGCACATTGTCATTGCCCTTCATAATAGCGTGCAAGTCTACAAATTCCAGGTCAGACCAAGTATCATGCATACATACGAAACCGCAGACAATCCTCACGGTCTATGTTGTCTGAGTGACAAGTATCTAGCAATGCCAGGGATCACTCCAGGTCAAGTACAACTTGTTGAACTAAGTACAGGAACTATTAGTCTCGTGGTGGCTCATAGCTCACCCTTGAAGGCTATGGACATCAGCCGAGATGGTAAAGTTTTAGCTACGGCAAGCGAACATGTAAGTACAAAAGTACAAGTCGATTGCTCTCGAATTTTTTCTGACCAAATTCCAGGGTACTTTGATACGGATTTACAATGTGAATACTTGCGCTCGACTTGCTGAACTTCGGAGGGGTGTTGACCCGGCTGCCATATTTTCACTGAAGATCTCACCATCTGGTCAAATTCTTGCTGTCACATCCGACAAGTCCACTCTTCATGTATTCGATATCCCCCATCCAGGCAAGCCTCCAAGACCTGCAAGCCAAGGCGGTGGAAGCCACTCACCAACCGAGGCGGATCCAAGTAAAAAATGGGGTCTTTTGAGCAAGATTCCATTACTACCACGAGTCTTTTCAGATGGTTACTCCTTCGCTTCTGCCCATTTTGAAATCGGGGATGAGGCCAAGTATGGTACCCCTTCGAATTATTCTGGTAATCCAGGATTTGGACCACCAAAAGGGGTTATAGGCTGGATGGATGACCAAACCTTGGCGGTTATTGGTGCTGGTAGAGACGGAAGATGGGAGAAGTTTATTCTTGTGGAGGATGGGGACGGCAAGAGATATTTCGCCAAAGATGGGTGGAAGAAGTATGTTGGCTCCGCCTGATTTTGTAGATTCGCCATTGTATTGTTTAGCGTTGGCGTCTGGGGTTGTCACTGGAGTTTGGAAGACTTTGAGGAATTCTTTTCTAGATTGCATAGTAGGGTGTCAAGTACCGTAGATATCAAATTGGGAATGTCCATAGCAATGGAAATCATCATTGGAAACATAGAGTCGCATTTTTCACGAAGTTTCAGTCCTTTCAGGAGGCTTTTTACAATAAGTTGTAAACATGAAATTACAACGGCAAATCGGGGACGACGATTCTGTAAAGATTTGTGGTATTATGATTTCTCAATATTAATCGTAAGCCCTTCTCGATTTTCGATCCTTCTCACCAGAACCATCCCTACTTCTACTCCTCCTAGAACGGTCTTTTTCTCTTCGATGAGTATCTCGATCCCGTCGTTCTCCGCCAGGACTTGAACTCCTCCTTCTAGATCTGGAATCATCTTTGTCTGTCCTCCTAGGTGATTTGTCTCTACGACGAGTGCTTTCTCTGGGCGAACGATCCCTGGATCGAGATCTCCTACTTTTATGTCCATCTCTGTGATGGCGGGAACTTCTATGCTCATCTTTCCTGCTATCCTTTCCTTCTTTCTCTGTCCGTCGCGAGCGGTGATGGTGTTTATGTTTGCTCTTCGAAGATTTGCTAGGTTTGAGTCTAGCCAATGCTTGCGCCACTTCTTCTCTCTTCTGCTCGATGAGGTATGCCTTCATTGGATCATCCTCATCATGTTCTTGGACCAGCTTCGCTAATTCTCGCTCCTCCTTAATCATAGGTCTCTCCGCCTCGCTCTCGCTCTCACTTGTGCGCCGTCGCTTTCGTGGTCCCTCCTCATCGTCTTCAAATTCCTTTGGTGGATCCGTAAGATCAATTCCTTCGTCTGGCTTGTCGTCCTTCTTCTTGTAGCGTGTATGGTCTACTTTCAGCGTTTTCCCCATCACGACAGTCCCGCCCAAATTGTCTACTGCAAGATCCGTACTCCGTTGATCCTCATATTTTAGAAATGCGAATCCTTTGGATTTTCCTGTTTCTTTGTCGCGAATGAGATTGATATATGTAGGTTCTCCATACTGGGAAAATATTGTAATTACGTCTCCTTCAGAGAGTTCGTAGGGGAGTCCGCCGATGTAGATATATGCGGTATCGCGATAATCGGTATGCCATGATGCTTCTGGTGAGCTATAAAGTGTCAGAAAATGCCCGGATGATTGCGCTAAATAACTCACACTCCATTTTCAAGCTCGCGCTTATTGAGTTCTTGAATTTGCCGTATGCTGTTCATTTTTTTGTTGATTTGGTGAGGTTGAAGGAAGATCGCGGGAGACGAGGCTGGCAGAAATTGTTGACGCCTCGTGCTTCAACCGCGCATCATCTCCGACCTGGGCAACAATTTCTAGATGAACGCGAACAACCAACCAAAACTCCAAACGTATTCACAAAAAGCCGCGTAGCTGCACCGCAACCGCGAGTTTATGGTTTATGAAATGGACCAGTAATTCGATATACTACAACCTCCAATTTGCACACAAATCCAACGCGACCGCCTCCCTGAGCCTGGACAATGGCATCTAATAACAGAACCTCAACCTATACCCAAGCATCCAGCGATCATGACCGACCAAAAACCCCGGATGCCAATATGTGGTATTCCCTCCTGGATGGGGTGGCCAGTGGGAAAAGATTACCAGAGAAGAATCTGATAGTTCTGGGTAAGTTTCTTGGGTCCTAAACGGCAAATCGCATGGCTAATGGAGGGGTTAGGAGGGACTATGGAAACGCAGAGAGAGTTTCTGGAAACTTTGGTGGAAGGAGATGATACGAGGAAGAATACGGATCGACATAGTACCAAACAACCTCCTATAGCTAATAATTTTGCTTTGGGGTATACATACCATGATGTCCTAGATGCCGATCATGAGGGTACCGGTTTCCAAGACGTTTTCGAAAAATATAGCTAATAGTTCTGGGTAGATACTCTGGCTCGACTTTCCCTATACCTCCTTGCAGATCCATCTCCATCTTTCACGCCTCTGTTACGGCCTCTTTTAACGCCCGAATCCATTCCCAATACTCTAATTGTTATACTTCTAGATTGGTCGGAGCCATGGTTCTGGCTGAGGCAATTACGGGATTGGGTGCAGCTCTTACGGACGCTGTTAGTTTCTCTGGACGATAGATGCAAACAGAAAATGGAAGAGGTTATGATAGGTTGGCGGGATAGAGGGCGTGGTGGGAATAGTTTGGATGGTGTAGCCTCGACTACCACGACGGAAAACGATGTCAGCTTGCCTTTAGGACCTGGGGAATGGGAAGAAGCTCTGGGATTGCCGTTATGTGTTGTGTGCCAGAATGTGAGAGTTTTCGATTACATCACATGAGATACTCGTGGATTGCTAACTCATGGTTTAGTCTGATCAAATCGAAAATTTGGAAAAGCAGCGGTCGTGGAGAGAAGAGGAGTTCGACTTCATTTTACAGTTTCTACGAACGATTTTACTCAAACGTAGGTCCAAATTCTTGTGTGTTGTGGAAAACACAGCTGATCAGAAACAGATGGCGCTTCTCTTATATACACAACCCCATCTGTAACCAGTCCATTACAAAGTCTCGTCCACTCATCTCTAGGAATCCATTCTCTATTAAAACGGCAGCCTCTCAAACACAATGTAATTGATCGCGACAAGGTCCTTGTCCCTCCGAATTGGGATTCATGGGGAAAGATCAGATTACTTCGAGATGGTTTCGATATTGATGCCATTAACCAAGCATGGTCTGTTGACATTGAAGAATCACTTGACCTGGTGGCGGATGGCGAAGAGAGCGACCATACCGAGAAACCTAATGTACCTGGTGGAGCAGTTGCAAATTTTGAAGAGCAAATTCGTGACCCTCGACTAGACGCTCTCCAAGCCGCATCTGCAGAACACAACGGTCTCAAACTCGAAGTTTCCAGTCAAGAATCTCAAGCATTCTTAGCCCATCAACTTGAGACCCTCACCAGAATTGGAAATGACACTTCTGGTATGGATACCAGCCGGTTGGCCGGTAGAAGAAATCGGTCCTCGTCTACTGAACAAGGCGATGAGCCCCAATCTGAGGAAGGTCGTGTTAGTGAACACATTGGTCCTGTGCAGTTCAATATGGGTGGTATCCAAGTTGACGCCGATGATATGCTACAAAAACTAAAGGTATTTTTTCCACTGCATCTCTACTATTGAACAAGCACTGACAATGAAACCAGGACCGCCAAAACTATGCAATGAGCCCAGAACCCGGCTCACCAGGCCAACCGGGCGATGGAAAGATGCAAAACGAAGCCCTCGCATCATTTTTCACGGGACTTCTGAAGAGAGGCGGGAATAGCGCGGCTGGTAGTCCCAAACCTGGATCTTCATCGTAACCTCGTCGTTGAATGTAGCAAAGTGGTTGTCACACGATGGCTTGCTTGTGGAGATGTTTATAGACTTTGACTGATTGATTCGGAGTTTTGGGGACTTGGTATCTGCATCATTCATCTCTTATCTCGAGGGGGGAGAGAGAAGAAGAGGAACTTGCATGGATAGAGAGAGCTTCGTTTTGGGGAGGTTTTTTTTTATGATGCTACCTGTTCTTCTGATACCTTTATTGGTCCCCCCACCCTTGTATTTTCATGATCTGGAATGGAATTGAAACACTTCTTGATACCCAATTCGATTTGATTTGGCTTGGTGTGGTTTAGTTTTGGTGGATTCTGTTATGTTGTGCATAGTTAGATAGTCGTAGATAGTGGGACTGCTATGGTACGTACGCTATGGTACAGTTCTTCAATCCCCCGGGGGTGCTATGAAATTGCAATTCCCTTCTTTGATGTATTATTTATATAATGTATATACCATGTTCATTCCGAGGGAATTCTTGATAGGAATGTTATTTTAAAGTCGGGGAGTGGCTAAGCGCTCTTGTGGAGTCGGTGGTATTGTTGGATTTTAGGCGTGGTCCCTCCTCCGACCCCAACCCAACAAAAGCCATCTATGCATACAGCACCGCCTCAAATACAAAATAAAACTTACGGCGTAGTGCAGCAACATTCACATGATCAATCATTCATTCAGTGGCTGCAAGGAAGGAACCTTCAAGGCTGAGAGCGGATGAAACACCAACCCAACATCGCCCAAGCTGAGCTAGCCATTAATATTAGGCAGACGTCTTTTGTGATTTTTGCCTGTTTACTTCCATTTTCCAATTTCCTGCTAGGCAATAAAAGAGTTTGTAATCGTAAAAGATGGAATATGCTGGTCTCCTTGTTACTAGGCTCTTTCATATTTCGAGGGAGGATTATATAGAGTAGAGTGGCGTAGTCGAGTCGTTCCATAATCTCCTTCGACCCTATGAGTTATGAGTGACATAATGGCTCATTGTATTATGTATATGCAAAGATACGGCACATACACACAAGAAATATCCTCCCCCAACCAATATAAAAAACCGCAGAACAAAAATCAGTTGGGACTTGGGTTTTTACGTGATTTTTGAATTTTGGTGGCGCTTAACGGGACTTTGATTTTTGTGTCTGCTGTTCTTTTACTTCATCGCTGATTCTTTTATCTATTTATTCTTTTTTATTGAATTCGGCGAGGGAATCTTCAGCTCCTTCCACCTTCCTTCTCTTCTTGCCCTCCAAACGAATTCAACCTCCCTTCCTCTCTCCCATCTCCCCTCCACCTCATCCCACCCACCCTCCAACCCCTCAAAATGGTCTTCTTCCTCAGCGTCCGCGAATCCACCACCCACCCAGGAACAATCGAACCCGATATCTCCATGCCCAGCGCGCCAACCGTCAAAGCTGGCCTCAAGGAATACCTCACGACCTGGGACCGCAGCGATTCGGCTGCTTTTGCACGCCGCATCGCGGTCTTTGTGGCGTTCGGTCTCCATGTGCCTATGAATGTTATTAGTCTGCTGAGTAGGAGTGGGTTGAGTTTTATTCTGGGGGAGCTGTTTAGTGTGTTGAATTTGGTTTGTGTTGGGTTGGCGCTTTGGAAGATTGGTAGGTTTTTTGTTTATGTCTGATTGATTTTTTTGGAGTTTGGGAAGGGGGGTTGGGGGTGTAATTGAGCTCAGAAGGGGGTGCAGAGGGGTTTTAAAGCTGGGGTACTGTATACATACCTGTGGATCCTCGAATGCGAATATAAGCGAAAGGGAGAAAACTGTCCAAGAAAAAAACTACCATCAACCACTCGTGGAGATTCCAGATCAACATAGAAGCGAAACTGAAGAAGAAGCTAACACATGTTCATGGACAGATCTTATGAGAGGAAGTAGACTATTCTACAACAGACTGTAAGTCCACCCAACATCCCAATACCAGTCTCTTCCCCACCCACCACCCCAAAACCCCTTTCAATATCCAACCTTCGAAAAGAGACCAATAAACTGACCAGATGACAGATATACGCGTCTTCACTTCGATTACGCAATCCTCGGTCTTCTGCTATCATATGCTCTCTTATTTGCCATGCTACTTTGGGGGAAGATGGTGAATAAGAGCTGCGAGTTTTACGCCTGTCCATTCCGTTCTCTCGCCGCGATGGCTTTTTTGTGAATAGCCGAGGAATATAAATCGTGATTGTGGTGAGCTAATGCTAAATAGTTTTCGTAATCATCCGTGTGATATGGCCTCTCCTTATTTGTACGGATATTTTTGCGTTTCTGGCTGGATGGATTACTACTTGGAGGGATTATTCATGATTTGTTATCGTATACACTTGGGGTTTTCTTCCTCTCATGTTTCTTTGAATTATGGTTGGGTATGGAAGTAGTAGGACTTGCGGGATAAGGGTGGGAAAGAAAGAAAATGGCGTTAGGGGACTTAGGGTTGTAGGTTATACGTAGATGGTTATACGCTCTTTCCCTCGCAGTTACCCCGTCCCTTGTAGGACTAGAAGCGCACAATATCTGTTGTCCGAAGGTATGAGAACAACCGACAACAACCTCAAGCTTTTGCAACGAAATTAGGGTTAGTAGCTAAAGGTGACCTGACTATTATCACTTACTCTATCCTGCACTCTTTGCTCCCCGCTAATTCTAGGCGAGCGAAAGACTTATCTCGTAGCGAAACCTGCAATAGAGCAATGACATGGTCTGTGCGGGTTAAGCGAGGGGAAGGAGGAAAACCCCCTGAAATTCTCGACATGTATGACTGCAACACTTCCACCACTTTCAAATGTGTCTCCTCTAGAAACTAATTCTATGCTGGAAACAAATGACTGTACTACAGGAGAAGACTGTCGGGAAAGTGTTAGTGAGAGGTTGTGTGTGATGAGAGAGATCTAGAAAAGGCATCTTCTACAATCCTTGTATGTATGTACGCCAATTATCCTGTTGACGTAAGAAATGAAAATATCGCCTAACAACACCCAGCCCTTAGTAGTTCCCCCTTAATAACTTTCCTAGTAATTTTACTTTCTAACCTATCTTATTCCTACCCCTACGACCTCTCGCTAAATAACCAATTTGGGAAACCACACTTTACTATGGTACTTTTGTTCAAAAAAAAAAATGAATCTTACATCTCATTATCCCAGAACTTAAAAGTAGACAAACATTTAGTATTAATCTCAAAATCTCTATAACAATAAAATAGCAGAAGAGTAACTACCGGACTAAATCAAAAGTATACGTTCCCTCTACTATACTTTTTATTCTACTTCCTCTAGTAGGCCGGAATCTTAGTAGTTGAGAGGTATTGTTATTATTATACGTATTCCAACGAAGTATTTAGATTTACATACCCTACTTATGATTAAAGTAAGTAATTAACAATACCACCGAACACCAACACCACCCAACCCTCCCAACCACCCAACAAAACCCACCACCCTCTCCCCACCCCCCAAAACGTCCCAAGACCTCTACAAGTACACCTCCTCCCAACAAACCCTAACCTCACAAAACAACCCGAAACCCCCACAAATCCATCTCTCATCCTTAAGCGCACTTCTCTTCCCCACCACTTACAAAAAGCCCTACCACCATTCCCAGTAAATCCCACAACGACTCGTTTCTACATCCCTCTCATCATGAGAGTCTCATGGCCTTTTCAAGAAACGAAGAAGGAAAGGAGATTAAGAGGAGGATACCTTCTTATTATTATAAGGTAAGTTCTTATGTTGTTGTTTTTGTGTTTATGTTAGTTTATCCTTCTATAGGTAGGTAGGTAGGGAGGGAGATTGTGTACTAAGGAGGGTATTAGCGGAGTTTGTAATTATTTTGTATATTTAGGTTGTTTAGGAGGATGTTATATAGACCTAACCTAATCCTAATATCACGTGAACTCTAAGATATCTAATTATATTATATTAGTCTACTATTCCTAGAGTATATCTAAGTTCTTTATAAATAGATATATTACCGCCTTATACCCTTCACTTAACATGTAATACCTATCATATAATACCTATCATAAAATAGTCCGTGCCCTTCCTACGGCGCATTTCGCTAGGAAGGGCACGGTCTATTAATACCTATCACATTATCACAAACCTATATCACAACATATCACAGCAAAGCAAGGAGTTATCAAAGCATTACAGCATACTCACTCCATATAAACACCAGTCTTCCTTTGACATATACGTATACGTATACGTATAGACAATCCAAAAAACCTACCATAATAATTATCTATACCCGTCTAATAGTACTAATATACTAATACCACCTTATTCTACCTATTATATCGTCTCTAAATATAATCTACATAACCTCCTACCCGGTAACCCCCTAAGTATCTCCCTACCCGTTGAAGTCTTTATACTATATACTACTTATACCCCTATACCTTACCCCTATTATCCCCTCCCCTTTTATACTACCTACACTACTACTACTACTCCCCTACCTTATTCCCTTATATTCTACCTCTTCCCCTCTCCTTCCCCCTCCTAGCCTTATTAGTACTACTTTATCCCTCTCTCTTTTAGAATACCCTCTCTTTTAATTAGACCTAGGCGTTAATATATCGATACTATATCGNCGCGCGGGGGGGGGGGAGGGGGTGGGGGTACTCGATATATATTATATCGGAAATATATAGACGATATAATGTCGCTCAGAATCCGATAATTAATATAATATTAATTATCGGCCACGTAACGTGGAAAATCTATAAATCCGGCCCCGGACTAATAGAAAGACCTTAGGAGACCTACTAATAATACTATTATAAAACGCTCTAATTTTGAATTTAATTTAAGTTCGTGGCTAAAGGTTATCAAGCTTAGAAATATAACTTATTTAAATCTTCTACTAACCTAAGTAGTTTATAGTTTATTATTATTAAAGAGAGTTACGTTTTAGTTATATAATCTAGTAGAAATAAGTACTTTTCTTCTTTATATACTTTATTTTGCCCTTGAAACACCCCTAAAAATACCCTAAAAACTACCCTAAAATATCGATAATTATCGATATCGTCGAATCTAATCCGATCGATATCGCGATAATCCGATATATATCGTATCGACGCCTAGGTCTGCTTTTAATACTTAATCATTTAGTATCATCTAGTATTGTCTAGTATATTTACTCCTCTTATTCCAATAAAAGAAAAAAGAAAAAGTAGAATCAAGAAATTTGAAGGGTGAGGGAGTTTGTATATACTTATATAAAATACACATCTTATATCTTATATTATATCTATTTACATTACACTACACTACACTACACTCCTCTTTCCCATTCCACCCACCCCCTAACTAACTTTCTATATACACCCTTCACACCTCCCCCCCTCTCCCCCCCTACTCCCCTGCTG